GCAACAGGTGTTTAAACATGTGGTTATGGGTGAAAAATAAATGCCACCGGACCGCAGGTTTCAGAATCCATTTTCCATTCTCCAGGGCACCCCATTTTGGGGTTCCCCTATTTTTGACCAAGGCCATCAGGGGTTTCCTTTTCCACCCCAAAACTGGGCTCACCCGTTTTTTTTTTTAATCACCACGGGCCACGCGGTAGGGGGGGGGGGAAGTCGCCCAATCTCCCGGCGCCATGGGCCTCTGGGCCATGCTGGTGCCTCGGGACTGGACGCGCCGGCGGAAGGAGGTCGGAGGGCTTCGGGGGGGGGGGTCCTGGAAGGTTCGTGCGGGTGAAGCTGGTCGTTTTTTGGAGTTGGCACCCCCCGTGTTTGGGGGGTTTGAAAGGGAAGCCACAAGGAGCACCCGCCTTTTTTTTTTGGGGGGGCCGAAAAAAAAGACACACCCACCCACACTGCTGATGGTTACAAAATCAGCGCCGTGCAGTTGGCAGGTGGTTTGTCCCAAGTCATAGGCAGTTTTATCCAACTGGCGTAGGATTCTGACCATCCACAGTATTTTTGGCGATCCTCAACAGGACTCAACCCCAGGGTTGATTCATGCTCAAACAAGAGGCCCTGACTGTAAGTCTGTTTGAGGGGAACGTCAAACACAACCGGAACCTTGTGTCAAAACCTCCGTGAATATTTCGGTGTGTCCTTTCTCAGGGTACGTTGTTTTGGGTGGTTTCAAGGGAGTGAAAAGGGATGCCCGGCCGTTTTGAGGGTTCCCTATTTCAGGAAGGCAAGTGAAGTGTCCCTTGAAAGGGCACGGCTCCTGAATTGAGAAAGCCGCGAACCAATCTGATCTGATCCCCTTCGAGTCTCTGAGTTACACTGCTTAGCCTTGATGTTGGTGGTTTGTCGTGGGCGGCCTTTTCTATCCTCTTGTCTTCGTGGTGCCCAGCGAATCGTCCGGTTTCTCAGGTTTTTAGTGGCTTTTTGTTGGCTTAGTGGTTGGGTGTCCATTTAGCCCAAAAGTTATCCACTTTTTGGCAGGGGATCTGAAGACAGCCCATTTTTTAAGCAGTTGGCACTTTGGGGGTTGCTTGAAAGAGCAAGCCCTTGTTCGGGGGTCCATGTTCCCATCAGCGATGAAGAAACCTTCCATGCCATGGCGAATGGCGACGCAAAGCGGACCGCGGAGCCGGGGACAAGGTGAACCAGGGGCGGCCGCAGGACCCAAGAGGCACGTTTCCAAGTCAAGTTGTCATTCAGCCACTGACAAAAAGACACCAAGAAAAACACCCAAAAGGAGAGGAATACCGGGGATTCTGAAAGATGAGTCGACTTCACTTGAACCAGGTCCCGGCATCTAGGGTGAAAGTAGATGGCACCATTCCCTTTATAGCTGAGTAAAGGGGATGACAGGGCTATGTGGGAATTGTGCCATCTGCGTTCACCCAACTGCCAGTGGAGTATTCCGCCTTTGATTATATAGGATTCCTAGGCCATGAGCATGGGCCATAAGAGGAGTTTTGACCAATGATGGTTCAAGGGATGGTGCTCTGCACGACTCGTGATTATGACGGCGGCCCTCGGCATGCCAGAGTTGCACAGCACCGCGAGCCATCCGGGGCCATGGCAAGGTACTTGAACATGTACTTGTCCGAGATGAGTCTAGACCCTCGGGATCTTCGCCGGGTCAGACAGCCACAGGTACAGGCAGCGTTCAAGGAGCACCCGAAGATCACTGACGTGATCACCTGCCCGGTGATCTCCGTAGCTTCGGGGAAGTGACGACGAGCGTTCCTGCCAGGGCTCACGAAAAAAGTCCGAGCGTTTTGTGGAGACTCAAGGAATGACCCAGGCTTGCGGAATGAACCCGGGGGTACCCTTAAAGGAAACAACGACAAGGGATGGTTTCTACTGGACATTCCAACTCATACCCATCGAACCAACAAGAAAAAGAGCCGAAACCGTTGGTTGCATTATTAGTTCGTTTTCTTTTGAGGCTCGAAAGTTGATACGTGGCAAAGCAGGTTTCCCCCCCAAACCAAAAAGGTGGTTGTTCCTTTTAGTTTCCCTTCAAAACCAGGCTGAAACAGGTTACGTCAATTGGTGGTTTGGATTGGTGGGTTGGGAATTCGAATCCCTGGTTCTTGTAGAAGGGTAAACGGGAAGTTACCCTTAACCACCAAACCACCAAACCACCAATCCAAACCAACAGGTGGAAGGAACCTTGCCGAAACGATACCCTCAAAAAAATCAGACCCATTGGTTCCTGTAGAGGGAAGGAACCTGACTGAAAACGATACCCTCAAAATTGTAAACACCAACCCATTCAAGCATCCCTTTTTGCCGGAGATCCTTCCGTGCGACTCTGAACCGACAGGTCACATCAGGCTATGCGAGGGTCTTGGTGACCGCAGCAATGCAGGAGAGACGGTGTTTCAGTTCGGCTCGCGCAGAGTGCCCAGTTCTTAATCCGAGTTGGCGAGGTCGTTTTTCTTCTGCGTTTGGTCGGTGTTCAAAGAAACCAAAAAGAAGCCACCCATGTTTCCAGGGTGCCCAATTTGTTTGAGACACCCGCATTTTGGAGAGACTTGCTTGGTGTAATGATTGAAGACGCGGTATAACAAACACCTTCCACAAGGGCCTAGCTTCAAAACCACAAACACCACAAAAACCTTCCACAAGACCTAGCAACTTTCCTCATTTCGGTTTTTCGTGGTTTTGAAAGGGACCCCCGTTGCTTCATCCGGTTCCTCGGGTTTTCTTCGCCAGTTTTTTTTTGGTTTCGGGAGATGGACACGTTTCCATTTCACCGAGCTCCCTATATTTATTCCTTTTTGGTGGTTTTAATTCCATCACCTTCTTGGCCCAAAGGCGAGTGTCCTTGGGGGTGATGTTTTAAGGGGGAACTATAGGGAGCCCAGTTTTTTCCCAGTTTTTTTCCCAGTTTAAGGTAGTTTCCCAGTTTTTTTCCCAGTTTAAGGTAGTTTCCCCTTTTTTTTAAAAAAAAAGGTTTGGTCAAAATGGGTGTCCATTTCACCCAGTGATCAACTTTCCCCCGGGGGCCGACCTGCAGCGCTCGCAGGAGCTGCGGCACCCCGAGTTGGCCACCCAGGAGGCTCCGGTGCGAGCGGCAAAGGTTCGTTTTGGGGCAGCTGCTTCTGGGCTGGCTAGCATGTTTTTTTGGGGGGAACACGCCTTTTTTGGGGACAGGAAACAAGCTCGGCGGTCTTGTGTGGTTTTCTGTGTGGGTTTTTCCCTAACACCTCGTGGTTTTCTTGCTAGTGTTGTCTCTCTTTCTTCTTCTTTTTTTGTGTGTGTGTCCTTATCCAGCGACTAGTGGTTTTCTTGTTTCCCGGCCAAAGAAGAAAGGCAAGCCAGTAGTTTTGGACACACCCAACATGCGAAAATCTCGGCTCGGTCTTGTACGTGTTCGGGGCCCTCTACCTCAGACTTATCCTGGCTAGGGCACAGCTTTATTTGCAGCTGGAGCAATGCAGGTGCCTCGTCTTTGCTTGAGGCTCGGAACTTCCTTTTGCGGGAGGTGTTTGTTGGGAAAGCAACAATAGAACCATCATGTTGGGGGTTTAGAACAACCCAGCTGTTGGTTGTGTGTGTGTTCTTTCTTTGCAGATCCCATCAAGAAAATCACAGCCAGCCCCTTTTGCTACCGCATGAGCTGTGGTATGGTGGATGCCCGAATATTGCGACTGAATCAACGAAATGTGGCTGCAGCAAGCTCAGGAGTTGTAGTCAATCAGGAACATGTGGGTATAGGTCAACGGAAACTTAACATGGTGGTTTTGGTTTTGGTTTTGGTTTCACTTCAAAGCAACCTTAAAACGGGTACCCTCAAAAGGCACCCACCCAGGTCAAAAACACGAGAATAAGGGAAACCTCGTCGTTGACCAGTTGGTGGTGGTTGGTGCACTCGCAGACTCCACCGTGGAGACTTTGGCATGGGTAGCTCGACCAGAACACCTGCGGACATTAGGATAATTAGTATTTGGGTGGTTCTGCTTTGTTTCTCACTTTCTGAGTCCCTAGACTTTATACTGTTTGGGAAGACAATTTTGGTCGTACAATAACGTTTTGACTTTTTTGGGGCCATCCACTCAAGAAGTGAGTGTTTGAGGCATTCTGGTCTAGATGTGCTGAATCCTCCCCCACAGTACATATGGCCCTGCTTTGGCAGGGCTTGAAGAAAAAGACGCAGAGAGAGCCAGCGAGAGAGGGAGGGAGAGAGAGAGAGAGAGAGAGAGAGAGCGAGAGTGAGAGAGTAAAGAGGGGGGTACCAGTGAAGGACAACTAGCCAGATGGAGTCCCAGTGAATTTTATCGGAGCGTCTGGTCCACAGCTGCAGTCCCCAAGATCATCTTATTTGCCAGCATCAGACGCCGGGTTCCGCTTTTTATTGGAACAACACCAAGGACGCTTGCGAGGGTACCCTCCTTGCTGGTTTTTCAAAGGGAAACCAAAAGGAAGCCCGAAGCCATGTGAGCCACAATCAAAACCCGGGTAGATGAAGGTTAGTAGGGGGCAGCAGTCCCAGCCAGAAATAGTTGCGGCCGCCTTCTTAATTCTTTACATGGTTCTGGGTTCACCATGTTAATACCGGGTTTTGATTGTGATCATGTGATCATGTGATGTTTCTTCAAGGTCCAGGTCTGGAAGGTGAGGCTGGAAGGTGAGGCTGGAAGGTGAGGCGCTGCTGAGGCTCTGCATTCCCCATGCCCCGTTTGGCGTCTGGCTCAAGTGATCGGTCAAAATTCGCAAAGCAGTCGATCCAGAGGTTCTTAAATGGACATGGGGGACGAGCTGAAAACAAATCCCCACAACAAACAGGCAGGACACGTTTTCCCATTTCCATGGGGGACGAGCTGAAAAAAGAAGCCACAACAAAGCACGGAGAAGGACTGATTTTGGCCATGTCCTCTTGTGAAAAACCTGCGGTACTTTTGACCGACCGCAGCGGTTCTCTCCAGATGCCCGCTGTACAGGATTTTGCCATGGAGACGGCTTCGGCGCGCGCGAGGTCGGAGGCGACCGGGTGGCGGAAGAAACCTGCGTTTACCAAGAGGTACTTGGACACTGTGTGGCCCAGGAGCCGGTTGTGCGCTGGGCAGATCTGGGCAGGGTGATGACTTGGGCAAGTAAGAGGGACTTTCAACAATCGGTGGTTTTGAACATATATCTCAAAATTGGGGACCGATTCCTCCAGGGTTTCATTTTAAAACCCCTCCAAAAAGAGATCGGCCCCCTATCTTAAGACACCAAGCTTCAAGGGGTCGAACCACCGCTTCACCGATATGGCCATGGGGTCAAAACCCCGGTTAGCCCCCAGTGAACAACCACTAAAATAGGTTCCAAAATGGGTGGTGAATTCACCCAATCCCCAACGTGGGATCCCCAAAATAGACTTGGCATCCCAAAACGGTTTTGACAACCACAGCCATATGCCGAGGAGCTATTGGAGCGGCCCGCGCAGCCGCAGCCGCAGCGCCTTCTGCCATTACAAGCCGAGCCAATCTGCGAGCCCCACAGCTGGAAAGCCTCAGGCGTGGGCACCGGAAGAGAGATCCAAGACGCCCAGCGATTGGCTTCACTCTTTGGGATCGATCGGTTCTCTTTGTTCTTTCGTTTGTCTTTAAAGATAATATGTCCTTTTTTTAATGAGCGCGAGAGCATCTAGATTCACACGAAACAGACATATGTGTTTAAAATGTTTTATGAGCACATTTTACACATTGCTTGATCATGTGAAGGTTTGTGTTTTCCCGCCACATCTCAATACGTGAAGCTTGTTGCGGCAGGGGTGTTTCTTGCCACCAAGGAAGGCTCGTGAGAAGCCGACCCTCGTGCCTCAAGAAAAGGCGGAGATGCGGCCGGGCGCCAACATGTTTTTGCAAGAGAAGAGGCCCTCCTCCTTTTACGCCAATCTGCCTTCGAATCTTGGCTGCTTTGGATCTCTGGCTTTGACCTCTTGGGATGTGTGGCTAGTCCCAGCCCTCAAACAGTGAGAAAAACACAAAACACATGTTTTGCACGGGTCCGCCACCAAGGACAGAGGAAATGCTCATGAGGGACAAAAGAAGACAGGAGGTCTTCATGAAAATGGCGCAAGTCGGGTCTTTGAAGCTGGTCATGGCACAGGTCGAGGTTACCTCCGGCTACCAATTCGCAGACGCCAAAGACTTCATGAAGCTGTAATCCCTTGGGTTGGCTTGGGTGCTAAATCGCGACCCTCTGGGTGGCTCGTTCTTTTGGGGGGACCCCGCAAAAATGTGGTTTCCCTTTGGATTCAACCACCAAGGACAGGGGTACCCTCAAAAATGGCATTCCCATTTTAAGTTGACCCTCAAGGAAACCAAAGGGGGCGGGTGACCCTATTCGATTCAGCACCCAGGCCAAAAAACCCGTGGCACCAGCCCAGGTTTTGTGCCCGAACTTTATAGGCTTAAGCGCATGATTCGGCCTTGACGGTGAACGCCCTGAATATTGCAAGTAGGGGAACAGCAGGTCCCTCCATTTCCTCTTTTTGCACCTTCAAAAGTGGCAATTTCAATGGACACCACCAATGAATTGCAGATCTTGAAAAAGAAATCCAGTGCCCGCTGCACAAGGACAAACTTTTGTAGTTTACCCACGACTTACAGTGGTTTGTGTGGTTGGACATGGTTGGTCGACTTGCAATATGTAGGGAGTCCACCGTTGGTTATGTGTTTCTCACCCGTGTATAGCGTATCACGCGATTCATGCTGAGCGACCACGCTTGGCAGATCCATATGGCCTTTTCGTCCAGTGAGACGCTAGGCCGTTGAGTAGAAAACAAATGATTGGCCCATGGCAGGCAGGTGGCGCAAGGAACTATCCTGAGAACAGCGGTCCCTCATGTTTTTCTTTTAAGACCTTTGCACGAGAAGAAAAACATTGGAGCCCACCAGTAAAGCGATCATTTGTTGGTTTGAGGAGAAACAAGAAGCCACCAGTTCTCATTTGAGCAACGGTCATATGGACTGTCAACCGTAGTAAGGGGGATGCCTCGGCGCACCAAAAGCCAAAACACCGGCAGGAAATGGGGCTTCACCAAAATTGTCCATCGCGCACATGTTGGTTGCTTCTGAAGATGATACTTGATGTCATGACAATGATTATGGCTGTGTCTCAAAAAAATCCATCTCCAAGCAGGTGATTTCCCTTGGAGGGCCATTTTTTTTAGGAATTGTTGTCGTTTTTTTTTAGGAATTATTTTTGTTTTTCAGGGTGGGTGGCTTTTTGGCTTTTGTGGCTTTTACGTGGGTCTTTGTGGCTTTTGTAGCTTTTCTTTTCGCATCCTCTGCATGCATGGCTTTTCGCATCCTCTGCTTTCCCAGTTGGTTTTTGGCCTTGGCTTCCTGCATCCTCAGCATCGCAAGTTCCTCTCTGGTGCCCCCCGCCACCCCCTTTCGATTAAAATACACGCCTACTTGAATCATCACTTTCTCGATCGTCATGTGACAGCTGCTTTTTAGATTCTTTGGCTGCCGTTTTACAGGGAGTTTGCCCGTGATTGAATCCTTACTTGTGTTATGAGGCCTTGCCGCAGAGGAACTGATGACCCCCCCGCTGCTTTGTTATATTTTTTTGGCCCTAATTGAAACATCACTTTTTCAATCATCGTGGGGGGGGCTGCCGCCCCCCCCAACCCCCCCGCTATTTTTTGGACTTTTTGCCCCTATTTGAATCATCACTTTTTCGATCATCATGCGACCGCTACTTTTTAGATTCTTTGCCCCTAATTGTTCGATCATCATGGGGGGGGCTGCCGCCCCCCGCTATTTTTTAGACTTTTTGCCCCTGATTGAATCATCACTTTTTCGATCTGCAGGGATTAGTTTGCCCGTATTTGAACCCTCACTTGTACCATGAGGCCTTGCGCAGAGGCACTGATGCCCCCCCCGCTGTTTTTTTTTTTTTTTTTGCCCATTGAATCATCACTTTTTTCAATCATCATCCCCCCCGACTTTTTGCCCCTGATTGAATCATCACTTTTTCGATCATCATGGGGGGGCTGCCGCCCCCCAACCCCCCCGCGCCTTTAATTGAATCATCACTTTTTCAATCATCATGGGGCATCCTCACTTGTACCATGAGGCCTTGCCGCAGAGGAACTGATGACCCCCCGCTGCTTTTATATTTTTTTTGTCCCTAATTGAATCATCACTTAACATCATTGCTGCCCGCTTGTTTCTGCTTTTTGAATTGATCATCATCAGGCCTTTTAGGGCGGGACAGGCGGGGCTGCCGTTCCCCCCAACCCCGCTATTTTTTAATTTTGCCTTGATTGAGTCATCACTGATCCAGGATTAGTTGTTCGTATCTGAAACCTCACTGTACCATTTCTGCTTTGGCATAATGATTTCCCTGCTGCTTTTTTTTTTAAAAATATTTTTTTGGCCTAATTGAATCATCACTTTTTCGATCATCGTGGGGGGGGCTGCTGCCCCCCCAACCCCCCCGGTATTTTTGGACTTTTTGCCCCTGATTGAATCATCACTTTTTCGATCTGCAGGGATTAGTTTGCCCGTATTTGAACCCTCACTTGTACCATGAGGCCTCGGCGCAGAGGCACTGATGCCACCCCCGCTGCTTTTTTTTTGCCCTAATTGAATCATCACTTTTTCAATCATCGTGGGGGGGGCTGCCGCCCCCACCAACCCCCCCGCTTTTTTTTGGACTTTTTGCCCCTATTTGAATCATCACTTTTTCGATCATCATGCGAGCGCTACTTTTTAGATTCTTTGCCCCTAATTGTTCGATCATCATGGGGGGGGCTGCCGCCCCCCCCCAACCCCCCCGCTATTTTTAGACTTTTTGCCCTGATTGAATCATCACTTTTTCGATCATCATGGGGGGGCTGCCGCCCGCCCCAACACCCCCGCGCCTTTAATTGAATCATTACTTTTTCAATCATCATGGGGCATCGGCTGGCCCCCAAAACAGGCTGCCGCCCCCCCCAACCCCCCCTGTGCCTTTAATTGAATCCTCACTTTTACCATGAGATGCGGGAAGCCAAGTTGCTGGTGATGCTGGCGATGGCTGGACATGCGGGGGATGTTGAAAACGATGCTGATGATGTTGACGGACGCGTAAAATACGTACATTTCGCGAGAAAATGCTGTAAATTACAGCATTTTAGCAGCCAGGACGGAAAACAACAAAATCCCAAAACAAAACAAAAAAATCCCAAATTAAATCTCGACCCATTTCCCTTGGTCCCAGCCGACTTAGGTCTATAGGTTTCCAACGTTTAGTGGGGGGGTGTTCATTTAACCTTGTAGTCCAAGGTTTAGTGGGGGGTTTCTAAGAGTTAGACGGCCCAGCCGCATCCGAAAATTAAAATGGACGGCCCAGCCGCAAGCTCGTAGGAGCTGCAGCGCCTGCGAGACCCCCGAGGCAGAGGGTGAAGGAGCCCTTGCTTTTTACATGCGCCTGTTACGGCCAAAAAAAAAGAGAACCACTGGTATCAGGGGATACCCTACCACCCCAAAAGGGACCCTTTCCAACAGAAAAGTGGTCTTTATACAGAACTCTGTGCACTTCCATGTTAGTTGGCGGGAGGGGAACAAAAAAAATAGTGGTAGTTTCTCACTGGGCAGACCCTCCGAAATATGCAAGGGTGCTGTGCATTTAGGGCAGGCAAGCACACCCAGAAACGCGCCGCGTATTCATTTGTCAAGTTTCTCCGTAGGCGGCGGAGAAGCAATTCACCAGAGTGCCCTTTTTAAGGCCCCCCCCCGCTTTGATCACAACTTGGTGCCAGCCCCTTGAAGCGGTCCCAAAATAGGGCACCCTTAGAATGGCTTCGGTTTTCCTTTTGTTCCCCATGAACACCAGCGCAAAAAGGGTACCATCAGCAAGACACACTTTTGTTCAAGCATGTTTCCTCCATTTCCCCGCCCGGAACCTCCAAAAGTGGGAGCTTCAAGGGAAAACACCAGAAACTTGATCAACTTTTGACTCGGGAAAATCCAGTAAGCCCCTGTTCAACCGCCTTTCGGCATCCTTTCTAGGGGAAAGGCGCGCAAACTTTGTCCCATCCCATTGACGTCATCCTTTTGGTCAGTTTGGTTGGTTTCACTTTACGTAGTTCATTTGCCAGGGGTAGTGCATTTTGCCCACCGGATAGCTAGGGTCCCGCCCAGGTTTCTGACCCAAGGTGTTCCCTTGAAATAAGTGCATGACTGTGGCATGTAGGTATTATGTATTATGTGTTTTGTATGTATGCATACATATGTACATATATATATATATGTGTGTATGCATATACATAGGTTATGATTTATTCACATATGCATACATATATATATATGGTACCCCCCCCCAGTACCCAGGTGTTGTTGCATCATGTATCAAAACCATTGATATTTACAGTGTATTTTGATTGAACTCATGCATTTTCTGCAAGGCCATTTTGTGGACCAAAACAACCAAACAACCAAAAAACCAAAAAACCAAACAACCCAAAAACCAAAAAACCAAAAAACCAATCCTAGCCCCCATCATGGCTGTTTTTTGGTTTCTTGGTTTTTTGGTCCAGGGAAATGTTGCACAACAAATTCCAAATGTTGCGCAACATTTGCGGAGCATGATGAGAGGATATGTGAACCTTCGTGAAATAAGGCATGTTCTGGGTGAGAGGATGTGTGAATTTTCTGTAGGGAAGAGTTATTGAAAAAGACATGTTTTGTGTGAGATGATATGTGAGTCTTTGTGGAAGAGTCAGGGTTACAGTGATTCATAAAAGTACAGCAAAAGACAGTACATATCATGTAAAGCCACCATTTATGTAACAACAACTGTCCCAGACATAGCATTATTCTACACAGGGTTCACTTTCCTTGGCAACTCTTTCACATATGCTGCCTTTGTTTCATTGAAAGAAGACATGTAAAAAGACATGTGTTGGGTGAGAGGATGTGTGATTTTTTGTGGAAGAGTCTTTGAAACAAGGCATGGTTTGTGTGGGAAGATATGTGAGTTATCTGTGGAAGAGCCTGTGAAAGAAGGCATGTTTTGGTGAGAGGATATGTGAACCTTTGTGATCGGAGGCATGTAAAAAGACATGTTTTGGGTGAGAGGATGAATGAATTTTCTGTAGAGAAGAGTTATTGAAAAGACATGCTTTGTGTGAGATGAATATGTGGAAGGGTCTTTGAAAGAAGGGGTTTGTGTGGGAAGATATGTGAATTTTATGTGGAAGAGCCTTTGAACAATGGCATGTTTTGGTGAGAGGATATGTGAACCTTTGTGAAAGACGACATGTTCTGGGTGAGAGGATATGTGAATTTTCTGTAGAGAAGAGTTATTGAACAAGACATGTTTTGTGTGAGAGATGTTATGTGAGTTTTTGTGGAAGAGTCAGGGTTAGAGTGATTCATAAAAGTACAGCAAAAGACAGTAAATATCATGTAAAACCACCATTCATGTAATACAAACTGTCCCAGCCATAGCCTGGCTTTATTCTACACAGGGTTCACTTTCCTTGGCAACTCTTTCACATATGCTGCCTTTGTTTCATTGAAAGAAGACATGTAAAAAGACATGTGTTGGGTGAGAGGATGTGTGATTTTTTGTGGAAGAGTCTTTGAAGCTGTGGGAAGATATGTGAGTTATCTGTGGAAGAGCCTTTGAAAGAAGGCATGGTTTGTGTGGGAAGATATGTGAATTGAATTTTGTGTGGAAGAGCTCAATGAGGCAAACCTCCTTCCTCTGGTCTCCCAGTGTGCAAATCTGAGCTGTTCTTCCTAGCTTCCGCGGTCAAAGCACATCTGAACCAAGCCCAAACCTGGGTACCCGGGGGGGGGGGGGGGGTAGCATATATATATATATATACGCATGCGTTATACACATACCCTTTCACCCCTTGTTTGGCCGCATATGTATATATATATATATATGTAGAGATTACAGCCGGTTGACCTTAGGGGTTCCTTTTTCACCCTTAGTGGCAGCTTGGGAATTTGCCGCAGAGTTGTAGTTTCCAATACGAAGGAAGGAAGACACATATGGGGGGGGAGCGAGCCACCCGATATTGCAGATCTCCAGGCCACGGAATTGGCAACAGGGGTCCCTTAGTTTTTTTTGGGTTCGACAGAGTAGGGGAGTGATTCACGAAAAAGTGCAATGGGCCCCTGTAAAAGTGGGATTTGGAAGGCATGCGCGTGTGTTCTTCTGAGGGCACCTTCTTCAGGTTGTTTTTTTCAGGGAAGCCAGAAGGAAAACCGAAATTCATGTTCTTGCTCCCTTGTGGCTTCCTTCAAGGAGACTGGATTCATTCCAAGCCTTGAAATTCCCAACAGAGAAACACTCCTGTTCATCTTTAGTAGGCCGCAACCAGCAGAGTGTTTTGCTTAGGTGTTTGGTTCTGTTCATTTTTTAGTAGGCCGTGAGTGTTTTGCTTGGGTTTTTGGTTCTGTTCATTTTTACCCGCGGCCTATTGCTGCAGCTCCCTACGGCGGTTCGGGGCTTCGAGACTTTCGCAAAAGTTTTGGGGGAATCCACGGAAGTGAGACAGTGCCGCCTATTGTGCCTGTCTTTTTGTTAGGAAGCGGACCAACCAACAAACGGGCTTGAAGGTTCCTTTTTGTTTCGCTTACCAACCAAAAGAGGGTTCCCCTAAAACATGACACACTCAAGTCAGAACTGCCAGGAGTGGGTTTATTTGTCCGTTGTGGTTCGACCGAACTAACTCACTTTTTGGAAGTTTATTTGTCTGCTGCTCGCAGGCAATCCCAGTTTTCCGCCAGCGGACAACTGGCTTGTCCGCCTAGACTCATCCCAATCCACAGTCTATAAACCCCTCAACCAATATGTTCAGAAGGCTCCATTCATGCTGCCTCTGTTTTTTTTTGGGGGTGTGTGTCTCTCTGTGAGAGACACAAAATATGCGTGCAGGTTACACTCAGCCGCTTTTGACTTCCGCAACTTCGGCGATCGGCCTGGGTCCCTTGAGGGGTTTTGGGCGGCTCCGGCCGCCTACTTTGGCGGTCCCAAATAGGTCCTTCACTTTCTTGGGTCCCCTTGCCGTCATTTGCATTCCTATCTCTTTTTTTTGCATTCCTACCATTTTGGCACAGCTGTTTGTTGGCTTAGTGTGCCGCGGTCAATTCGATGGTTGCTTCTCTGGATTGACGTCGATCTGAGCAACCTGGTGCAAGCTAGCCACGAGGATTGGCGTCGCTGATTTGTTCAGCACATGTTGGAAACCACTGTTTTCAAAGCGCACCCGGGCGATCACCATACTGTCTGCTTATACGGCAGAAACGAGCAATGATGCAGGTCCCTTGTCTGGAGGTCCTTATTTCAGTTGGTTGTCTCCAGCCTGTAGAACTTGGAGGCTGCCACCCGAATGAAGGCAAGAAGGGAGGATTTTCGGAATAAACGGAGAAGGTACAACTCGACTTTCACCGATCCTGGGCTGTGGTTCATTCTCTTGTTTCGGAGGCACAATATTTTAGTCTTTGCTTGAGGAATGCATAGGGCCCCGCCAATACTGAAGACATCATTCTCGACGGTTCTTTGTTTCCCTCCCACACGCGCAAATAGGCAGGTAATCCTCAGACAGTCTGTGATCTGAAGTTGTTTCCTTCTGACTCATGACCGATTTTGCGACTGATATGTGGGTTGGAAAATAGATAATATTTTTAACTCCAAGAGTCAGCTGAACCCCCACCCCACGTGCATTTGCATGTTTTTGGTCCACTGCGCGGAGCATGGGTTGCATAGGTGTTCAATGGTTCAGGACGAGGTTTCTAGTCACAGGCCTAATCCTAATCCGAATCCGAAATCCGCATAATCCTTTCTCTGGTTCTCTTCATAATCCGTAATCTGCGCTGCAAAGCGACATGGATTTCGACCAGGCCCGTTAATTCTCCGATGCTGCATTCGAGGCTTGGAGAGGGCTAGCATGATCGACGAATGCTTTTTGACCGGCTCAAGCCATTTGGCAGTTGAAATACGGAGGTCATCGGAAAATGGAAAGCGGCCCAGCAAGCCGCTTTCGGAGGGTTTTATAGGCGTGACTGTTTTTGGGAGTCTGATTAGCTGGACCGACAACCTCAGAGTTTGGACGTTCAGCGATTTGAGTCTGGGTGCTTTGGGCATGTGCAGTTCGGTGTGCTCTCCAAAGCAGGTGAAAGGCGAAAGCAAGACTTGCGACAGCAGTGCTGCTGGTATCCCTCAGCAATGAAATAAGCTGAGGTGGTATCAGCCCAGCCCTGGAACCCCTGAAACTGGAGCCTCCTTTTGAGCCTTCCTGAAAACTGCCCGAACCTCCCTTAGAGCCTATCTGGGCAACTTCATGACTTTCAGCCTTCCTTGAAGCAATGACTGCGACAACACTTGGCCCGGCCAAGGCCGCAAAGCCCGAAAACCCGTTTTAGAAGCTTTGTCCAGGAGACGAAATCGGATCTGAGAACGGGGGGTGGTGTGGTTTCGTCCGAATCTGCAGCGGCCGTCGGATTTTCGTCATGCCATGGACCTGGATGATGTGTCCCTGGACCCGGAGAGCCGACAGGCGGAGAGTTGCCTTCGTGGGCCGTGCTGAACGAGTCAAGGGAAGCCAAAGGGACACCACGTGGGTCCCTAGATTTCCTCTGTGGGTGGCTTTAACCCTCACACAAACAAACAAACAGACAGACAAACAAGCAGGCAGGCAAGCAAACAAACAATTAAACCAACAAGCATACAAACAATCAAGCAAACAATCAAACAAACAAACAGAAGACAGGCAATCAAACAAACAAATCAACAAACAAGCCAACAAGCAAACGAACATACAAACTTTAGAGCCTCCGGCTTAGTCCGCCGACATTGCACCCCTGCGTGTCCTTTGAGGTTCCCCTGCGTTAAGCCGAGACAGGGTTTGCATTGCAGCGTCAGTTCCCGCTGAGTTGCCTTTATTTTTCGTGCACTTGGCGTGCAGTACCCCTTTATTGTCGCTTTTCGACTCCTTCAAATCCCATTTGTTTCCCCTTGATTTCCCCTTCATTTCCTTTTTATGTTCCGTCATTTGTATCATTCTTCGTCATGGATGGCCCATTCATTTCCTTTCCATTTCCCCTTTATTTCCCTGTCCTTTTCTTTCATTTCCCGTCCATTGGCGAATTCTCCATCTCAAAGCAAGAGGAAGAGCAAGAAAGGCCGAATTTTTCAGGATCCTTGGGGAAAACTGCGGACTTTCTCCACATTGGTTTTTCGGCTGCTCTGTTTGAAGTTTGTCATTGCTGTACTTGGCTAAATGGTTCCCAATAGTATACGCCCTCAAAATGGTGGACCCCGTGATTTTCTTAAAGAGAAGCCAAACGGAGACCGACCTTTTCCGGTCATCTGGCGAAACATCGTGCCACGGACACCTCCAGTCCCACCCTACAACCCCCTCCCCGTGTTGAACGTCAAAACCTAGGTCCCCCAGCTAGGTGCCCTTTCACCACCTTTTTTTGGGGAGGGCTCCCTACTAAAACAGACTACAGAAAAAAGTTGGTACCCTGATTCTAGCCTCTCTATTGGAGGACCTAGAAACCCACCTCCGACGTCTCGCTCGCTCCGAAGTCCGACGCCAGGAGCTGGCGGCGCTGCGCGGCCGCCTCGTGGCGCTGCAGTTTCTGCGCGAGAGCCGCGCCGCCGACTTCCGGGCGGAGGATTGATCCGTGCGACGGATGGGTTGGGGGGGTAGGGGTGGGTGTGGGTGTTTTGGGGTGGGTTTTTTTGGTTGGTTGTGTTTTTTCTTCTTTGGGGTGTTTTTTTTGGGGTGCTTGGGGGGTGGTCGCTTCTTTTTCGCTTTTTTCCTTTATGCTTTAGGATTCGGAAACCCCCAAAATGGCGCAACAGCTTTCCAGAAACAAAAGGTACCCTCACCAAAACCATCACCCCCATACGCCCTGGTTGGGGGGGGGTCCCCGTTTAGTGGGATCCGGACCACTTTAGTGGGCGACAATGGGTTTGCTAATCCGCGGTCCCTTAACCACCTTTTTTTGCAGATAGTCGAGATTGTTCTGTGTTGGTATACAATGCGGTTTGAGATAGGAAATTCAATTTTTAAGCGGTGGTTCCTGTCAGTCTTAACGGGAACCTTTGTATCACTCGACATATTCTTATTTGTCCATATCACTGGGCATATTCTCCTTTTTCCAGCAGGCTGAAGCAAATGGAAGTAAACCAGAAAGGGGTAATGTTAACACTTGATTAATCAAGTGGTGCTGAATAATGTCAAGTGTTTTTCCTTATTCTGGTTCGCACCCATTGTTTAAGGGGACCAGAATAATTGAAAGTTTTTTTGCCCGGGGGGGAAATTCCAAAAAACACCTCCACAAAGCAAATTTAATATTTAAAAAAAAAAACACATCCCCCCCCCAAACAATCACACAAAATTGGTTGCTCAACCACAGAACCCAAAGCCAGCTGAAACTCTGAAATTTGAAAACCATCCCCAGCCCTGAAATTGCAAACTCTTTGTTAAACCGTGCTAAAAAAATGCAACAAAAACCATCAGGACAAGGGTACCCCTCACAGACCCCACTGAACCACAATAATGCGATTGTTTTAGGGGACCACCATAGTGGCAAGCCCCCAGCCCCCCCTCCCAGAAAATAAACTATCACTTGCTTTGCTCAAAAGCATTCCCCTTTCAATTGGTGGCCCACTTGCTTAAAAGCATCCCCTTTCAATTGGTGGCCCACTTGCTTAAAAGCATTCCCCTTTCAATTGGTTGCTCAACCACAGAACCCAAAGCCAAACCCCCAGTTGATAAGCTGCATCTGCTTCTAAAGTAGTATTCCAAAAAGTCTGCTCAGGAAGAAGTGGTTGCAATACTAAAGTAGAATTGCAAAAAGGAAGTGGCTGCAATACTAAAGAATTGCAAAAAAGAAGTGGCTGCAATACTAAAGGAAGTGGCTGCAATACTAAAGTAGAATTGCAAAAAGGAAGTGGCTGCAATACTAAAGTAGAATTGGGCCCCAAAATCCTCCATTGTTTGGACGTCCCAAAAGTGCACCCCCATTGTTTTGGCGCTTCCATTGTTCAGGGGGGGGGGGGCCTTTATTAATCAAGTGCTAACATTACCTCAAAAAACAACACCTCTTTTTCTTCCCGGTCTTCCCCGGCTTTTCCCGATTCGTTTTTTTTTGGGCTTTCCCCAGCGACGCGTCCGGGCGCAGTTCTTGTGCCCGACGCGGCTAGGAGCGGGCGCTGTCCTCGGAGGCGGAAGAGGCGCGGAGCTGCTGCCAGGACTTGCTCGAGGAGCTGCGCCTCGAAGATCAGATATACTGCGGATGGACGAAATCCATTTCGCACCACAGAAACCCAGGAATGATTCGATTCCCCTACAAATACCAATAAAAAATGGTTTCCCATGGTTTCTTAGGTGGTGCAGGATTGCGTCCATCCACAGTATGACCATGGGTCATAACCTATGCCGATCCCATTTTGGGGCGGATGAACATGTACCACCTATGTTTGATGTTCACCAGGGGTACAGGGGTTTGACCCACAGCCATATCGGTTCATTGAGCTTCCTACCAAAAGGGAATGGGTTGGAGCCCGCATTCCAGGGATCTGAATCTTTTCCGAAAACCATCAGAACCTCAGGGGAAACAGCTGGTTTGTTGAAAAGAACGATGGTTGAAAAGAATGGGGAATCCACCCCTAGAGTATCGGTTGATTTTGCTTCCCACCAAAAGGGAATGGATTGGAGCCCGCATTCCAGGGATCTGAATGTTTTCCGAAAACCATCAGAACCTCAGGGGAAACAGCTGGTTTGTTGAAAAGAATGATGGTTGAAAAGAATGGGGAATCCACCCCTAGAGTATCGGTTGATTGCACTTCCCACCAAAAGGGAATGGGTTGGAGCCCGCATTCCAGGGATCTGAATCTTTTCCGAAAAACATCAGAACCTCAGGGGAAACAGCTGGTTGGTTGAAAAGAACGATGGTTGAAAAGAATGGGGAATCCACCCCTAGAGTACCGGTTGATTTTGCTTCCCACCAAAAGGGAATGGATTGGAGCCCGCATTCCAGGGATCTGAATCTTTTCCGAAAACCATCAGAACCTCAGGGGAAACAGCTGGTTTGTTGAAAAGAATGATGGTTGAAAAGAATGGGGAATCCACCCCTAGAGTATCGGTTCATTGCACTTCCCACCAAAAGGGAATGGGTTGGAGCCCGCATTCCAGGGATCTGAATCTTTTCCGAAAACCATCAGAACCTCAGGGGAAACAGCTGGTTGGTTGAAAAGAACGATGGTTGAAAAGAATGGGGAATCCACCCCTAGAGTATCGGTTCATTGCACTTCCCACCAAAAGGGAATGGGTTGGAGCCCGCATTCCAGGGATCTGAATCTTTTCCGAAAACCATCAGAACCTCAGGGGAAACAGCTGGTTGGTTGAAAAGAACGATGGTTGAAAAGAATGGGGAATCCACCCCTAGAGTATCGGTTCATTGCACTTCCCACCAAAAGGGAATGGGTTGGAGCCCGCATTCCAGGGATCTGAATCTTTTCCGAAAACCATCAGAACCTCAGGGGAAACAGCTGGTTGGTTGAAAAGAACGATGGTTGAAAAGAATGGGGAATCCACCCCTAGAGTATCGGTTCATTGCACTTCCCACCAAAAGGGAATGGGTTGGAGCCCGCATTCCAGGGATCTGAATCTTTTCCGAAAACCATCAGAACCTCAGGGGAAACAGCTGGTTGGTTGAAAAGAACGATGGTTGAAAAGAATGGGGAATCCACCCCTAGAGTATCGGTTCATTGCACTTCCCACCAAAAGGGAATGGGTTGGAGCCCGCATTCCAGGGATCTGAATCTTTTCCGAAAACCATCAGAACCTCAGGGGAAACAGCTGGTTGGTTGAAAAGAACGATGGTTGAAAAGAATGGGGAATCCACCCCTAGAGTATCGGTTCATTGCACTTCCCACCAAAAGGGAATGGGTTGGAGCCCGCATTCCAGGGATCTGAATCTTTTCCGAAAACCATCAGAACCTCAGGGGAAACAGCTGGTTGGTTGAAAAGAACGATGGTTGAAAAGAATGGGGAATCCACCCCTAGAGTATCGGTTGATTTTGCTTCCCACCAAAAGGGAATGGGTTGTGGCCCGGTGCAAACTTTGCAAGAAACAGAGGTCCAAGTCCAAGCCCAGTTTTCCAACCAAAGCTCCAACTATGGAGGGTAAGGCGAGCTCTTCTCAAATGCCCAATGCGAATTTCGACCTTTCCCCCCAGCGCTCCGGCCACTGAGCCCAGAGGGATCTGCAAGAGCCTTGGTTCCTCTCTCTTTTTGTTTGGGGGAACCCAGCGGAATCAACGGCCAAAATGAGAGGGGCCACGGTCTTTGTTTTTTTTTTCTTCTTTTTTCTTTCCATGGAATTTTCGTGGGGGACTCTCCTCGATATTTCCCTTGGTGTCAAACTTCGCCTTGTTGGTTGCCGAGTTGAAGCGCGTCTCCTTTGGATGGGCTGAAGTTGAATGGAGAAATGCAGGGACCCTGACTCGGAACTGCCTTCTTGTCCATGGTTGCACTTGATTTTTGTTGACACTGGGCACACACCAGGAACATGGGACACAATGAACAATGACAGTGGCTTGTATGGGTTTGTGTTTTGCTACCCTTGTCAGATTGGTCAAAAGGGAAGTCAACTGCAAAACCACTCAATTCCGTTTTCCCTTTTCCCCATTGAGGTTGCACTTGATGTTCAATCACAACTGACCTGTCGAGTCAAGTTTTCACCTGGACATTCAGTTGATCCTCAAGTGGTGCTCGGCGCTGAATCGTCTGACAAAAATACCCTCAAAAGCACGCACACCCAACTAGTAACTAGGGCACCGTTTTTGTTTTTGTTTTTTTTTTTTGGGGGGGGGGGAGGGTATGTCGTGTTGGTGCTTTCTTTTTTCTTCTTCTTTTTTTCACCATCGGGTTCCCAATTCATACCCACGTGAGAGGCGGAGGTCTTGCCTCGTTTTGGAATTTTGGCCTCGCTGAAACTTATTAAGGCTTCCCCAAGAAGGCCCGGGGTTCTTTTTCGGGCTCCTGGTGAGGTGGGGAAACTTATTCAGCCATGTCCCTCCCAAAAGGACCATGGCCTGCTCTCATACTCCAAATATTGAGGGTGCCACAAGCGCCATGAAATAGTTGGAATGATGTTGTGGGATACTTTTGCGGTTTGGATTGGTGGTTTGAGGGAAGCGTTCCAGTTTCAAAAGGACCTGGGGTTCAACAGCCCGAAAAGGACCTGGGGTCTGTGGGTAAGTGGGTGGGTTTTTAAGGGAAACCAAATGAACACGCCAGCCATTTTTGGTGCATAACAAAAACACCATAGAACCAACCAACATCTTGTGTCACCTCAAGAAAGTTGAGCACCCAACTTTTTTTAAAAGCATATACCCCCCCCCCCCCAAAAAAAAAGCAGAGAGAAGAAGAAGAAGAAGAAGTGGTGGTCCTTGTGTTTTGAAGGGGGTATCATTCCCCATGTGGTTTTTTAGAGTACCCCTTTAAACTGGTTTTGCGTGTCTCCGGGAAAAACACGCGCACACACACACACACCCCACGTGTGGTGTCCAAAGCAAGAAACCTCTTCCCGAGGCTCGCGGGGCCGGGCACCGAGCGACAGCTGCAGGTTGCACTGGCAGAGGACGGGGTGGGGTGTCTCGCCTCGGGTCCGCTTGGCGGTTCAACCAGCCCGGCGCAACTTAGGCTTTTTCGGCTGTTTTTAGTTGATTTGGTGGCACTAATTCAGGCTTTTTAGTGGTTTTGAGCGGATTTGGTGGCACTAATTTAGGCTTTTTACTGGTTTTGAGTGGATTTGGTGGGCACTTGCCGAATTTAACCCACAAGTTATTCACTCTTGGCAGATCTGAGAGCAGCCCAGTTGTTTTACTGGGTTTGGCGTTCAGTTCCCTCTTCTGTGCCCAGCTCCCGCGGAATTTTGGGCGGGTCGCCAGGAGACGGCGGCGAGCCGGGACGCCCAGAGCTACGAGGCGGAGCTTCTGGCCCAGCGCCGCAGCATCGCGGCGCTGCGGGAGGCCTTGCGCGGGGGGGAAAAGTTGTGGCGGAAGGGGAGGGGTGAACCACCGGGGGTCTCCCTTTGTGATGTTTTTTGTTTGCTTGGGAGGGGGGTGGGGGGGAATTTTTTGCAGTTTGGATTTTTTGGCTGGAAGTAAGGAATCCCCACTAAGAAGGGGGAGTTGATCAATCAGGGGTCAACACTTTTTGACATTCAGCTTCCCGCTAATTGCTAATTTGTGGTTTAAGGAGCCCGGTGATTTAGTGGTTTGGGGGGTGATTTCCTATTTGCTCCCTCCGGCAATCATTGCCAGGAGGGTCCCCTTTTGTCGGCTACAACGTGGACAGTGCGTAGTAGCTTCCTGCTAATTGGAAGGAGCCCGGTTGAGTGGTTTGGCGTGGCTCTCCATTTGCTCCCTACAAGAACCGGTGAAAATCCAACTCCGATCCAAACCAAGCAGAACGGTGATCTAGAGGCGTTCTGAAGTTCATGGCCAAGTTCCTGTTGGTGCCTTCAAAAAAGGGACCCCGCACTTAGCGGGACACCCACTAGCAACCAACCAGGGGTTTATTGATCCGGGGTTCCTTTATAACTACCCCGTCTCATACTTGCATCCTTGATACCCTTTATAGTTGCATTCCTTGCTTGGGCTTGAAACTTAGAACTGGCTTCATCACTTGGGTAAATGCGAGAAAGGATACACGGGTGGCGGTTGGTCTGCAAACCCCTGACAGTTCGCGGAGGGAACCCAGTTTGAAGGGAAACGAAGGGGGTGTGGGGTGCGAAAAACACAAGATTGGCCACATCGAAGGAAGCTGGCCCGTTCCTGGCGATGGAAGACTAATGTCTTTGCAGTTCTTTGGCCCCATACATGACACAGTGTAAAGAGATCCGGCAGATGGTTTCTGTTGGCCAGTGGATAGGTTCGGAATTTTCGTGCTTTTGGTTGCTTGATTGCCCTTGCTTGGTACCCTTTTTCCGAGCATGGGAGCTGACAGAAGGGTCTTGGGAAGACTGCGGTCCTCTCGAAAAGCGGCCACAGGTCCACTTTCATTTACAGAGGTAGATCTCTTTGCAAACAAAGAGCCTGGTTCTCATAGAAGGTGATTGATTACCTTTTAGGGCCAACACTCGCCCGACCCAAAGGGAAAAGAAAGCGCTTTGGTGTTCTTCGACTCTCCGTGGAATGCGGATTGGTTTGCCCAATAGACAAGTAAAGAGAGAGGCGAGTGAAGCTCGATCCCGGGTCACTCTCGCGGTCTCGGGCCCAACCCCAAAACTCAACCCAAGAATGCCAACCCGACACTTGATCCAACAAGACACACCCACAACCTGACGCCCAAACGACTCAATTTACATTCAAATTTACATGTCAAGGTTCACATATGAACCAGAATAGAGAACATCTGTTTGGGTTGGGGAGGCAAAATCTGAGATAGTTCCTTTCACCTTCTCTTTTCCCAACACCCAACCCACCAGATGGGGGGGGGAAGTCCAGGTGCAACCTTCTAGACCCCTCTTTCCATTTTCCAAGCACATCCAAGACTTGAAATAGCCAAGGCATTTCCATGTCTTTTGGGTTCTTTCCCTTGAAGTTCTCCTTTGGCTCTCCTGTAGCTTCCTTGTTCTCTCCCTTGGCTTTCAGTTTGGCTTCCCTTTCCCTTGCTTTGCATTGGTCTCTCCTTTTTTTCTTGGGTCCGTCCCCCTTGGGGCCGTCCCCTTTCGTCCGTCCCCTTTGGTTCGTCGTCCCCCTTGGGTCCGTCCCCTTTGGTTCGATTCGGCGCCAGGAAGCCCTGGAGCCCGAGGCTTCGCTGCCCCTGGCGGCCTTCGACACCTTCGAGGCCCAGAGGCTGCGGCTCCAGGACGCAGAGCCACGCGCGAGCGCGCGCGCGCGCGCCGAAGCGGCGGGGCGGGCGGAGTTTGTTTGGTTCGGGTGCCCCGTAGAAAAATGCCGAGGTGTCGGTTTTTTTTTGTCTTTCTTTCTTTTTCTCCCCCATGTTTCTTCTTTTCCTATTTTTCCGAAAAAGCGGACTTGAAAAGCCCCAAACATGTTTGAGGGAATTTGATTTCCAGAGGGGTTTGGCACTCAAATTTGGTTCGACAAAAACAACCGTTGGCTCTTCAAAGCTGCGAACCCAAGAAGGGTCCCACGGCCACAGAGCAAACCTCGGCGAACCGACAAGGACGGCGAAACGGCGCGCCAGGAGCAGCAGTTGCGCTCGGAGATCACGGCGGCCAGGCGCCAGCTGGATGCGCTGAGGCGGAGACAAGTGGGGGGTGGGGGTGTTTTTTTGTTTTGTTGCTTTTTGCCAGGCGGGTTTGCTGGCTGCAGGTGGACCAACCATGACTTTGCAGAAACCATGACTTTCCAGGAGAGCTTCAGAAACGGCTGGGTTCATGTCCTTTTGCGGTCCAAGCTAAATGGAGTGAAGCCAAGGGTTCGACCTTTTGGAATGTATTAAACTCGCTGGATTGAGTACCTGGGTAGCAGCATACATGGAACCCAGACGTGGTTCATGTTCAAAAGGATTCCCCTCATGAATGTAATGGTGGCTTTGTGGAGAATGTGTGTGTGTGTGTGTGTGTGTGTGTGTTGAACTCTTGCATTTAAGATGATTTGTGGGAAAGATGGTTCCAAAAGTCAACGGTCCATTCCGACCCTGATTGTGTAATGCAAACTTCAGATGAATCCGGCACCTGATTCGTGCTTAGCGGTAGCTCCCCGAGTAAGGAACGTCGTTCTTCTTTGGAGGGGGGCACCTCGGATTCTCTAGGGGTAGCTGAAGATTATGGGGGCTGGCGGGGAGGGAGGGGAGGGAGGGGAGGGAGGGGAGTAGGGGAGGAGGGGAGGGGGAGAAAGCCCAAATAAGGCCTTAATAAGGGCGTAATAAGGGTTTTTTCCCCTCCCCCCCAGCCCCCATGAGAAGAGCTCCTGGCATGGAATGCATCGGTTTTTCTTGCTGGTGCTCAGCAGGGAATGAGGGCATGAACCTGGGGCCCAAATGAAGGAAACCAAATCGGGGATCGTTTAACTCGGGGTCATTCCATTTTATCATTGGTTGGGATTGGTGGATTGGTGGATTGGTGGTGTTCCGGAGGGGTTTCCAATGTCCTTTCTACAAGAAGTAGGGCGGAGGGGTTTCCCGTGTACCACACGCAGGGGTTCAATCCCAAAAACATCCAAACCACCAATTAGAGGTTACCTGAAATCAGGCCGAACCCGTTGCAGCCCGCATTGGTGAGCTCGTTTTACGGTGAGCTGAGCCCAGCCCGGCTCAGCCGTCGATCAGGTCCGGGCACACGGCGCGGGCCTTCCACTGCGAACTCTTGGAGGAGGAACAACTCCGCCTCGGGATCCAACCAATACCCAAAAGCAAAGAGCTGAGGAATGGACACCAAAATGGCTTCCATTTGCTCCCTTCTTATACTTGTTTTTTCTTAAAAGCAAATTCCCTGAAGGGAATCTTATCACTGGAAATGACAATACTCCTGGCTTCCATTTGCTGAAGGGAATTTATCACTGGACATGTGTCGTGTGTTTTTTTTTCCCCTGGACTGGCAATCTTACCGGCTTCCATTTGCTCCTGGTTTATTCTCCCCGGAAGGGAATCTATCACTGGAAATAGGCGTATTCTTTCCAGGGGACCATGTTCCAGCAGTGACAGATCCCCTTGAACAGGGGACAATATTCCGCAGCAGATTTTTGCTCCAGAAGGTTTTCTTCGGAGAATCTATCGCTGGAAATGTGATCCATTTTTCCAGGAGACGAAAAAGCAAGTGGAAGCTGGTTGTTTGTTTCCTCTTGAGGTTGGATTGATTTGGGCAGGGAATCCAGAAGTATATATATATATATACATATACATATGTAGATATGTATATTCAACCTCGTGTCAATTTTTGTTCGTGTTCCCTATAGTTGAAATGGTGGGAATGCCTCCGCTCACTCGCTGAGTTTTTGGGTTTGGACCATTTTAATGGCAAACGAAAAGTTTGGTTACTCTTTTGGCCAGTCCACTCAAGAAGTGAGTCCATTTTTCGGGGGAACCCCTCCCTCTTCCACCCGACAAAAACCTCAGGGGTCGCCGGTAGCAGAGGGTGTTTTTCGGCGTTGATGGACCCGAGGAGCCTCATCTCAGATTGAGATCCCGGAGAACCTGAAAATGGCTGGGCAAAAGATGTAGCAACCAGTCTCTGGTCCCGCTTTAAAGGGAAACCAACCTAATTTCTTCTTTGCAGGCTGTTGAAGAGTTGCAAGCATGAACGTCACGGCCGTCTCAACTCTCAAGATTTTTGGGGGGGAGACAGAGTCAAAGACATGTTGAAGCAGGGGTTGTTTCTCAACATGTTTAAGCAAGGGGCTGGCCCAACCCAAGTGGTTTCTCAAGTAGCGATGCTCATTGGACGGCCCTGCATGCTCGCTCAGTTGCCTGTCGTCACCCGTCAGATGTGCCCTCCCCACCCACCGTGGAAGTGCAAGATATAGGTCATCACGGCGTTCCATGCAAACCACGTTGAATATGAGTCGAGGTAATTTCTTGGGCGCTAAATCACCCCATAGTTCCTTACTTATCCAAAAAGGCAAAGCAGAAGGCTTGGCGGTCCCCCCCCCCCCCCCATCCCTCAGGTTTTTAGGATGTTTTGCTTGTGGTTGGGAGTTCATCTAACCCACAACTTAAACTCACATAGGGAGTCAGACACTCTGCTTTCCTGCTTTCCTGTACGTTAAACTTTTTTGGGTTTGGACCATTTTAGTGGCAGTTCCAAAAAGTTTAGTTACTTGTTCTGACCCATCTGCTCCTTGGAAGTGCGGTCAATCGGACGGCCAAGCCAGCTGAAGCCTCGCGCAAGCCTCGCGCAAGCCTCGCGCACTCGCGCGCCTCGGCAGGAGGTCCGGGTGCTCCGGTCCTCCCAAGAGGCCCGGGAGGAGATCGGCGCACTCTCGGCCAGCTTCAGCTCCCTCGAAGGCGCGGCATGGACTTCGCGTCGCTTGGTTCGGGGTTGGGCGGGTCAGGTGTGAAGTGGGAAGCCCATGTGAGAAAAGACGGGGTGAGGTGTTTTTCTTTGAGGGATTCGGTTCAGTGTCGGAAACAAAGCAGGGATTTCGTCAAACAGGTGAATTTCCTCTTGGCTTCGCTTTAAACCAAGGGTGAGAACAGGTGCCATCAGCAAGAATTGCCACTGTTGCTTTGGAAAAGATGCGACCCAACGAACATTCGCGCAAAAACCAGGACCAGCCCAAAAAAAGGCCCACAAGAACCAGGAGAAGAGCCCAGAAGAACCAGGACAAGCCCAAGACAAGGCCCGCAAGAGCCGAAGAACCCCCCCCTCAAAGCGCGGAAAAAAAACACGCCGCGGATGTTGGGAGCCAGGAGGCAGCAGCCTGGCCTCCGCTGCTTGGCGCCAGGCGGGAGTGGCCGCCCCGAGGGACCTGGCTGTGGCGCAAGGAACCGGGTGACCCCAAAATGCAGGGCACGGCGCCCATGCGGGTGGATGTGGAGGTGGGAGAGGGACCCTTAAAGCTCAGCTACGGCTCGGAGTTGGAGCCGCCCAAGGACAGGGTTCTGGGATCACTCGGGGTTTCTCCCCACTTCTGGGATACAAGTTGGAATCCCCCTGTATATGAAGAAAATAGTCTTTGGGAGGCCCTGTTTGTTGTATCACAGAGGTGGATTCCATTCCCCACAGCCCTGCCAAAATGGGTTGCCTGATCGGTAAGTGGAAACATGGACCAACATGCGGTTTGCCCCTCCCGGTTAGTTTTGAGCCACACCCACCTGGTGCAAGCAAAGGGCTGTGTCTTGTTTTGGAGGTGGTGGTTGTTTTTGGAGTTGGTACCCCCTTTGTTAGTGGGTTTGAAAGGGAAACCACAATCACCATTTTCGGGGTGCCCTAAAAAAGAGAGCGTTCTTTTTGGGTGGTCGCTTTGGAGTGGTTTTAAAGGGAAAGGGAAAGGACACTGACCATGTTTGTTGGGAATTTTCGGTTCGAAGACTTCCCCAATAGAACCCTGGATTCGGAAACCCCTGGGGGTGAACCCAGTTTTAGTTGTGTGTCATATTTGTTTCTTTGAGGGGAACACCTCCTATAGGATAAACCCGGGGTCAACAGTAGGTCAGAACTTGGTGGCTCCCCGCCATCCCCGTTGGTTTAGGGGTTGGGTTTCCATTTAAACCCACCAAAGCGAAGCATTTAGCACGGGATCTGAGGTCAGCCCAGAGAAGGTCCCATTTTGTGTGTATCCCAGTGTCCTGTTTTTGGAAGGAAGCCCAAACCCATAAAATTCGGATTATCAATTTTGCGACACACCCACTTAAACATGTGTCCGTGTTTTGGGGAACCCAGCCATTTCTGGTGTCTCCAAAACTATGAATGATGGGTGGACGAAGGAAACAAACATTTGCACATGCCGGTAACGGGAGGGTTAATCAGGGATCGACATAGTCCAGCTAACTGGAAACCGCAACCTTGGGGGTCCTTTGCAGCCGCACCCATTTAACGGATGTGTGTTTGCGTTTGTTGGTGACTGCAAGTGAAGTAAAGACACTGTGTATGCATTCATAACACGGCATGGTTGCAATCAAAGAAGATTGCCTGTATGTTTGGGTGGTTAACAGCTGTTGGTGTAGTGTTGGTTTGCCTTAAACTATCCAACGTGCGGCGCCCCGTTTTAAGATAGACCCGCCTAACTCAAATCAGTGGAGCTGCTTAGATGGCCTCAGAGTGAGCTGCTAAAGCTCTTAATTCTAAACCGGGGAGGGGACCACCTAGCCGTAATTCACTCCTTCCCCCACCACCAGGTCACCATCAGAAACTGGCTGTAGAAGAACGGTGACCATCTGACCAAGGGTGCAGTGACGTTTGCCACGTTTATGCTGTAAGATCACCTTGTGGTTGCCATTATACGATGAGTTCACTTTTGGTGTATCATCAAGAACACAAGCTGCACAGGCGCCAATCCTTTGGACGTGATCCGGGGTGAGCTAGTAAGGGGCGGGAACTTGGTTCCCGATGTACCATCAACGCCGTTTCGGGTGAGTGAAGGCAATCGGACGGTCCCTTGGAAGCTGGGTGGGCCCCGGTGATAAGAAGGGCTCCAAAAGTGTCCAACCACAACAGACTCACTTACAGACCAACTCAGAACAGAACCAGAAAACCGCCAGAAAGACCAGAACAACTCAGAACAAAACCAGAGAACTTCAGGAAAACAGCAAACAACAAATAAACAGCGGAGACCCCAAGTTTTAAGGGTTCCCTTCACCCATCGTGAATGGGGAGGGTCTGGCTAGACATACGGTATCGATTTCTTGGCGTGAGAGACTCGTGTTTTGCGGTCTGGCACAGCTAGAGCGTTTTTCCCGCGAGGTCAAACACATGTTGTATTGCGCCGACCATGGTGTTTCATTCTCACAACACGGTTTTTCAAGCACTTTCATCGACCCGTTCGTTGTGCGTGGATTTTTTTTCCGGCCTCGTCACGGACCATCGCGATGTGAGCAAAGAGTTAGGTTCATAGGTGTCCTTGTAAAGTTAGTTTGATTAGAAATAGACGGGTTTCACTTTTTTCTCCATTCTTTTTTAAATAACCCACTTATCATCCCATGGGCCATGAATTTCTATCCAAAAGGTCACTTATGGTTCGGTTTGTGTCATTCTCAACGGCGGGCATCAAGCGTGACCAAAAGCGCGCCTCTGGCTCGCAGGTACGGCTAGTGGCTTGACAAATGGGTACACTCCCAAAATGGACCAAGTCTTCCAAAGGGGTGCAGGGTATCCATACAGAGAACTTTCAGATTCTGCACAAATAGAAGTCACCGGAAAGACGTTACGTTAGCCATGCTGGTGAAATAAAGCCCTCGCACAGCCTTCAATGAACTTGGGGTTCCCTTTGGTTAGCAGCTACGGAGGATGTTTTCTAGGAAACATGGTTCATGCTCCCATGGTTAATGGTTTCCTTTGGTAACATGTTCCCTTCATGTTCCCTTCGGATTCCATCTTCCCATGGGAGGCTTCCAGAAAGCTTCGGGTTCCGCGTAGGTTCGGGGGATTCGGGACCAGGGTTCCTGTTTTTGACTACCCCCCAAAAAAAAACACTTAAACTGAGGGGCGGTTGATTTCCCCCCAAAAAAAACGGAAACCCCTGGGTTGAAGTCTGCCTCAGTCAAAAATCGGAACCCCGTTGGGGACACTTCCCTTTGCCAGGCCAAGCTGGCGCTGGCCGGGTGTGAGGAGCAGCGCTTGTTGCGGGGCCTGGCGCGGGCTGCCAGGGAGACGAGGCGTGGCTTCGTTGGGCTCCGTCTTTTGGGGGGTGTCCGTTTTTGGGGTGTGTGGCAAAGGGAAACCAGAGGGAAACTGCCCTCTTCTTTCTTCTTTTTTTGGGGGGGGTCCGAACTTCACTTTCAGACATGTCCGTTACTTCTCTGAAGCCTTGAACTTGGGTGGCTTGAAGTTGGTTGGTGGCTCCCAGCCATCCCCTTAACTTTTAGGTGTTTAGTTAGTTTAGTGGTAGTTTGGATTCAACCCACTAAAAGTTAAGCTTTTGGCAGGGGATTTGAGACCAGCCCAAATTGGTTGGTTGCCACCTCAACTTGGACTTCAGCTTGGGCAAACTGTTTGGACCTTTGATCAAATCGTTCGGAAGTGAGCTTTAGGAATATCAGAGAGTCGCTTTACCTGGAGAGGACGCATGCATGGGGTCAGGGACGCGCTGACCCAGCTGTGACGGGTTTGTGTGCTTAACCCTTTCTCCAGAAAGGTGGTTTCAAAAGGACGACCCTGGTTTGGAGCGTCTTGATATGGCCTATTCTTTAGATAGGGAACCACCTCCTGAAGTGGTTGTTGGACATGACTCCCGACCTAAATCAGTTCCACCAAAAGGGTCCCCTATTAATAAACTTGATCCTGTTCATCCATTCGGGCAAATGAAACCATGAGCTCACTTTCGGTTCGTGCCCGGCGCAAAGAAAGGGTCTTCTCACGAGTCGCGCAATCCCTGGTTCCGTGAGTTTGTGGTTGGGTGCGGTTTGCAACCACCAAGTTAAGTCCATAGGTGTCCTTTTTGGTTGGTTTGCTTAAGAAATAGAGGGCCCTGGTTTAGATGGGGATTATTCAATTTACCAGGGCCATCTATTTTTCCAAAAGGCCACCTATGGTTAAATCATGAATCTAGGGTCAATTTTAGTGGTAATGATTCTACTCCTTGTTTTTGCTCTTTGTATTAAAAGGCGGAAGTTTTAATTTGTTTTGCCAGGTGTCCTGTAAACACAAACCAGCATGGGGCTTCCTATTCACCCCCGAAAATGTAAAAGCGCGCTTGGGGAACGAAAAAGGGATTGTACCCCCCTCCAAACGCTCTTCCCACTTGGACTTGTGGGCTGGTGCGTTCCTCCGACGGGGACTCTCCAGGGACAGCCGCGTTTTTCACACGATGTGCTTTCAGAGTGTGACACACGCTGCTTTCAAGCATTCCAAGCCTTCACTGTTGTTGGCATGTTTCTAGACTTTTTTAGCTTCTGTTTATTTTTAGTGGGGGGCTGCAAAGACCACAGTTTTTACCGAGGCGACAAGGAGTCCACAGACGTGTCTGGATGTCATCAGAAGGCAACATCTGATAGCCCAATGGTATCATTTTGGGGTAGGTGCACCACCCATTTTAGTCTATTTTAGTGGGGATTGGGATGTTCACTGGGGGCACGGGGGTTTGACCCATAGCCACATCATGGTAGCTTGCTTTGCCCTCAGATAAGCTCGCCGCCATCGTAGGCAAATGGTCATCAGCCAATGCCCTGTGTTAAGTGATAAAGGGTACCTCTCAGGCGGCTAATGTGGGTTGCAGTTGGGACTTGCCCTCGCCCCCCAAAAAATATTGGAATCAATTAAGATCCAGTACCTCTTCCAAAAAATGGAGCCCCCGGATTAATGCACCAATGCAACGTAGGGGGGCGTGACCCACAAAAGTGAAGGATTCCCACTGAAAGGGGGCACCTTCACACACACACACACCAGCACGCGAAGAGGACCGCTCACAGCGGCGGCGTTCAAATGCGGCTTTCCATATTGGTTCACACCGATACTGTACATATTCAGGATGGAATCTCGAGGATCACGCGAAGAGGACCTTCATTTTCCCATTCCACCGGCCAAAAGCGCTCCCTTCTTCAAAAGCGTCATTTTCCCTTGCAAGGGGCTTCAGCCAAAACAACCCGTCGGAACCTCCGCCGTCGACTCGACGCCAGGGACGTGGCCGGCACGCTGTCGCTGTCCTCGCTGAGTTTGGACTCCAGCCCTTCACGTTGCCTGGTGGGCTCTCCCGAGGCGATTCCATTTTTTCCTTGGTATCGGGGAAGGAAGATGAAGCGGCGGGCTGGACACGGATCTGCAGTGGTGTCCTTTTGAGGTTAGTTTGACTAGAAATAGATAGGTTCCACTGGTTTTCATTAGTTTTGTCAGCCATTTTTACCAGGTCAGGGCCATCTATTTTACCAAAAGGACGGCTATGAATACATGGGGTCTGTCTTGTTTTGGGGGGACCCGATCGTTTTTTGTTCCCCCCTTTTTTGAAAAAAAAAATACGGGGGGGGGGGGGGGGGTAAAAAGGAACACTGCAGGGAACACCACCATTTTGGAGGGGTCCCTGAAAAAAAAACACACGCACACGTCCAGGGACAATCCAGGGTTTACAAGGGTCTGCAACATGTTGTGAAGAGAACCCTGATTTGCGCTTTTTGGAGGGGGCTGGGCACTTGCAAATGCACTTCCATATGCACGTGCTGGCGGGACAGTCGAGAGTTTGCATTCGTTTCGTTTGGTATCCAATTTTCTGGGCAGATCAAAGCGGCCTCATTCCTTTCATTAGGGACCCTTATTCGGGAACTGTTATACATACAACTGTATGTAACATCGAATCAGAAACATGAAGCCTCAAAAGGGGCAGCAATGCTGCAAACTTGCACCAAACCATCGCCTGCCCCAGGGTGCAAGACAATTGCTGCGCGGGCTGAGAACTCTTTGCAGGTGGGTTCTTCTTGTATCGTTTTTGGAGGGGTCCAACTGCTCACTTCCCTACATCTGGGACTTTGTCAAGGGAAAATGAGAGCAGATTGGGAGCGTGTTTTGGCCAGTGCCTAGGCAGCTAGGAACAGAAGGAGGAAAAGGAGGAAAGGAGAAGCGGCTTCGGAGGAAAGCGCGCTTGCACAAAGCTGTGGACTGAATCTCGTGACCATCCAATGTTTGATCGGTTCCGAAAAGATACTTCTCTTCCAGCACCCTCCCCCCCCCCAAACCACTGCCTTTTGGGCCCTCTTGCTGGAAAGGCCCAACGCATGAGTCGAACGGCGTTCGATTTGTGTACATACATATATATATATATGTATATCAACATTGTTTGGGCAAACTCATGCAACACCCGCGGATGCGGCTCATATGTTTTTTCCTTGTTTCACAAAACCAAGCAATGCCTTGCCCTGCTCGCTGTCTCGGTTTACACGGTCGTCTCAGTTTGTTGCAGACTTTACGCCTTGAAGGAGCGAAAAGGAGCCATGACTCAAATCAACTGGACGCATAAAGGTGAACTGGCCATGGCTCAAAATCCCGTACCCCCAGTGAACATCCCAATCCCCACTGAAATAGACTAAAATGGGTGGTGCACCTTCCCCAAAATGGTACCATTGGTTTTGACCCACAGCCAACTCAGCATGGTCATCCCTGGCTTGCGGACAGGTCAGAGCACGTGGGCACGAGGAGGCCGGGCAGCGCTTTGCCCATGATGGGCATGTTGGAGTGGATCCTTCTTGCAGAATTCATCTGCAATGGGGCGAACACAGGTTTGCGTGTTTGTCCCGTTTGTGGTATACACACGTATGTAAGAGCACATGTAATGTGTGTGTGTGTGCAACATATACATGTGTATGTGTGTTTATACACATCCAGAACTGTGAGCTTATCAGCATTGACGGCCTGAATGAAGAGAGGGCTTTGGATCGATTTCCCTTGCCCCCCCCCTTTTCGGGGTCGCGATTAGGTGGATAAACCATTTGCAGATGACAAAACACATTACCCTCCCACCAACTAACATGGAAGTGCAACAAGGCCCCTTCCAAGACGAAAGTAGTCTTTCTACAGGGGCCTGTGCACTTCCAAGTTAGGTGGGAGGGTTTCGTGACTTTCGATTTTCAAGTCCCCCAAAATCCTAGTCTGTTGATTCAGGCCCCTGCACGACGTGTGCCAAGTCGAGTCACGCCTGGGCCGTTCGCATTAAAACATCTGGTAGAAGGCGCAAGGCAGCCAGAAATCGGTGGCTTTGGGGAGCCCACTTGAGTACCAGGCTTCTTCCATTTGTCTCGGAATTCGTGAACTTCCCCTGTTGCTTGAAAGGGAATCTATCACTGCGGGACAGATGTTCATTTTTCCAGGGGTCTCAAGCAAGTGGAAGGGTTTGTTTGTGACTCCCATTGGCTCTGACTTGATGCCAAGACAGCCGCGAGATGTCAGCGCTGTTACGGGCTGGACAGCAGGCAGTGAGGCGACACCAAGCAAGTGGAGCTTGCTTCACAAGGAAACTTCTGGAGAGGCTGCGAGTTCTAAAGCTGCAGTGTGTTAAATCAGGGGATCCACCCCAAAAAAGAGAGAAGAAGGAGTCCCCTGAAATTCAAGCCACGCCAGTGTGAGTTCTTGTCCAAAAGTTGGACGGGTGTTCCTTGGGTCAAAGCAGGCTTCAACGGAAAACTAAGAGAAGCAGCAAACGGCAGGTGGCCTGGAGGCCCCACCTTAGCACGAGTGGTGGTTCCAAAAGGAGATGCCTCTTGGGTTCCTGCGTGGGCTGTGGCTTTTACCTAATAGCCTCGGCTTCAGAAGAAGGGTGCCTGATTTTTCTCATGGGTTATAGTTACATGTGTGTCTGGTCGAAACGGGAACCGTTTTCGCCGCAGGTGCCTGATCCCTCATGGGTTGGTTACATGCGTGTCTCCTGGTCAAAACGGAAACCAACGCAGCCGCAGGCGACTTGGGACCTCTCCTTCAGCTCCTCCCTCTTCACCACCGGCGTCGGCTTCGAGCGTTTCGAGCCCGTCGCCTCGGCGCCGCACGCGCCGCACGCGCCGCACGCGCCGCACGCGCCGCACGCGCCGCACGCTGCGGAAGCGGCGCCGCGGCAGGCGAGCGGCGTGGCCGAAGGCTGGGCAATGGCTGTGAGGCGGTTTTTAGGGATTTGGAGCTGGGTGCGGAGCAGTTTTTTTTTGGGGGGGTGCTAGTTATTTTTTTGGCGTGTGTGTGTTTTTTTGCGGGTTTCGAGCAGCTTTTTTTTTGTGGGGGGTGGGGAGGGGGGGGTGGGCCTGCTGTGATACCAATAAGATCTGGGGCCAAGGCTTCCTGGGGATAACCCGCTTTGTTATCGCACGTGCAACATACCCTAGTCTTGGAGACCTGAAGAGACGCCAGCAAGTGAAGCATTAAACGACGACTTGTTTGATGGGGGTCAAACAAGTTCGAGCGGCTTTTTGCAGGGAATTTAGGGGTTTCACTTAGTTCCCTTTTGAGCAAACAACCCGTTTGCGTAGAAAGCAGCCAGTTTGTTTGTTCTTGCGCCCGATCCACTCATGAAGTGACGGGTATGAACATAAGACTTAAAGTGATGTGTTGCCGCTGCTTCTCCGACATGTTGATGGTTATTTGATCCCTCAGCCTTCTGATTGTTCAAGGAGAATCTCAAAGAAGACTTCGGGCACCCCCGCCCCCCCAAACCCTTCCCCCCCCCCCCCAAAAAAAAAAGAAATGAGGAAAGAAACCAAAGTTTCCATGGTAGAAACCCCTTTTCAGCGCAGGTGGTGTTCCATTTAAAGCCACAACAACGGCACGGCGCGTAAAAATCTCTCTGGGGTTTTTCTGGGGGAGGGTCTGGGAGTCCAGGAGTCCAAAGCACTGGCCACCAAAGAACCTCCAAAGACGAAACAGGAAAATCATAGAGTAAAAAGAAAGGGAAAGAAAGGGGTCATATCCTTTTCATCATATTCTCATACTTTTAATGGTCTTCTTAGTCTTCTTCGTTCTTTTTTTTTCCATTCCTTTAGCCAACTGAGTCCAAAGAACTTCCATTGGCAAGCTGAAGGCCAGTTGGTGAGTTCTCGGTGGCGAGGCCATTGGCCTTCCAGGGTTTTGAGCTCCTCTTGATGCTTTTGGGCTGACCTTTTGGGCGTGGCTCAGAATCAAAGAGCTAGCGCCAACAGGTCTTAGTCTTTGGTTCCATTTACCAAGGTGCCACTTTGGGCCACTGACATTTGAGCCACTGCCATTTGAGAAACAGCCAGTTTGGGAGTGTTTGGCCAACCGTCCTTTCCCTTGGCCTGCCCACATTCCCGGCCTTTTACCCCACCCCGGAGGCTTCGCTCCGGAACCTCTGGATGAGGATCGAAACTCCGGCGTGGCAGGAGGTTCGATCTCGCTTGCCACTTGCCAGCCAAGAAAAAGCATGGGATTTGGGATGATTTGGGGCTTTTGAGCCCTGCCTCTCATTCATGTTGAGAGGGAATACGCCCAACATGTGGCTTGGCTAATCTGTTTTTCATATATCCAGGGCTAGGCCTCAATCTAATTTGGGTGAAAGATAGATTGCACCACTCGTCCCCTGTGCCGGTTTTGCGGAATGATGGCATGATCACACCCTCAAAGCCAGCAGTAACCACCAGTGACACATTTCCGCAGTTACTGGGTGCACTTTTGGTCGTGGTTACCCGCGGGTCTCATCAAAGCCTGGTGTTGTTCCCCCAGAACTCCTTTCCTCTGGCGCTAAGTCCTTTGATGTGACACTTCGTTCGAGGCTCGTTTTTAGAAATCCTTGCCAACCGTTGCAATGCGGGTTGACCTCGTTGCACAGGGGGCAATAGCCACGTGGCAAGTGGTACACTCAAAGGGCGCACCCTCGCACCCTTGGAGCATACCCAGAGTACACATCAAACAAAGCCTTCGAGTCATTTTGCTTTTAAATTTGCTCTATGTGCACATCCATCTTAGTGAGTTCTTCAATATTAGTCAGTAAACTTGAAGCCAGCCTCCCTGCCCCACCCTCGCGCCCCTTTAGTCCGGGGCGCCTTGATCTACCACGTCCGCAGGAAAGACGCTCCTGGGGAGATTTGGAGGCAGAGGCGGTGGCGGCGGCAGAAGCACCGGCGCTTGAGGCGGGAGCTTGAGCGTCATTAGGCGGTTCCAATGTGCTGATTTGTCCAATGACTGTTTCACAGTTATGCATGAAACATGGGACTCTTTTCCAGTCTAAAGTTTTTCATACCCCTCTGAGGTTCCAGCAGAGAGAGCCTCTGGGGTGCCTTTGGGGGCCTTAGGTTCTTTCCCTGCGAGCACCCGCCCAAAGAGGGGGGAAAAGCGCTTCGCAGCCTTTGCCCCAAAATCAGTGCCCCTGAACATTTGGGGATGCCTCCATTTGGGTATGTGTCAAAGGGATTTGGACCCCCATTTTTTTTAAAGAGCCACCGGGGGAATGTCAACATAAAGCCAGCCCAAAAAGCGCGCCGAGCCTCAAAAAGCAGGCGCGCACTAGCACACACACACACAAACACACACAAACACCCACTTTCACCCTGTGTGGCTGCTTATATATCTTTGGGGTATTTTGCCAAGGGATGTTAGGACTTTAACGTTTGGCCAACTCATGGGTTTTCCGTACTAAACCACTAGAAGTTATTCACCTTTCGCAGGGGCGCAGATTTCGCAACCGAGCATCGCATGGTTTGCATCCGCACTCCTGAGAGGCGATCTCTCTTGGGCCATGGGAATTGGCTGATTGAGAGGTCCCACTCTCCGAGGCAACTCCCTTCAAACTCCCTGCAAGGTATTTTCCCGGTGGGCAAAAAAAAGGGTACTCCAGATGGCTTAGAAGTCTAAGAACATGTTGGTGACGGTTTGTACTCTCTGGAATTTGAGCTAACAAAAACAAAAAGAAACACTCTACTCTTTCAGGCAGCCGGTACATAGTTATGACAAAATGTCAGTAAAACATGGGATGACTATTGGGGAAAACCACACAATATTATATTTCAACCGCATGGTCAAAACTGGGGGGGCGAAGGGACTATTGATATAGTAAGTTATGAGATGATGGTAAACCCACCCTAAAAACACGACCGGACCCGATCAACCCCAGAATCTTCATGTTTAAAGTTGCAAATTCTCCAGGAACATCATATGCGTCTGTGCTTTTGTTCAAACCTTTCTCAGGTTGGCCCAAGGGGAAACCAAGAGGAACACCGCATTTTTTGTGATTCCCCCTTCTCTGACACAAAGTTTGCGTGTCCCCAAAAGGTTGGCATTTCCGTGTTGCCTTTGTGCTGAGCAGGCCTTCTCCATGTCTGATAGAGCCCCGGTGCCCCAGGCTCTGCCTTTGCCGACCCCGGCCTTTGAAGATGGCCATCGCGTCCGTGCCTTTGGCAGCAACGTGTCTTGGGGCTTGCACAAGGCAACCAAAAGGTGACGTTTACCAACAAAAAATGGAAATATAAGGCCCCGTTTGACGTTTGTTTGATTTTAATTTGCAAAAAGAAACCAAGCACTTTGAGTTTCACCGGTGGTCCAGCCCACGGCCTCGCTTGCAGCGCGCTTGCCGCGGCGCGCCCGAACGCGTCTCGTCGCGCGCTCCGCGAGGCCTGGCGCCAGACACGCAGTGGGCTTCGCTGGCGGAAGAGATGCGGCGACTGGAGCGGGAGCTGACGCTGACGCGGCAGGAGGCGAACGGAAGAAGCTGGGTGCGTCGTGTCTTGTTTTTGTGGGTAACGTCTTTTGGATGGCTTTAAAAGGGGAGCCAACAGGAAGCCACCCTTTTTGTTGGGGTCCCCTAGGAAAAATAGCGCAATGTCGACCCCATTCATATGAATCCACCAACCTGTTTATTACCAGGGGGGGTGTTCCCCAAAAGTGGTCTGAGTCCCAAGCCCAGGGAGACCCCCTAGTAATAAACTGGGGTCGATGAATATGGAGTCAACATTACCCCTTTTGGATGGTTTTAATTTAGAGGGGAGCCAAAGCTTCACTGTTCTTGGCATGTTTTTTGGTTTTTTAGTTTTTTGGTTCTGTTCATTTTTACTGGGGGTCTGCAACAAACAAAGTTTTTTGCTACCATACCAAGAGTAGAGATGAAAAGGAAACCACCCTTTTTGGGGGGACAAGTAGAAAAACAACACATCCGTCCGGTTCTGGGCACACATGACCATGAACTTGCAGGCTGGTGCAGATCATGTTTCATATGTTGTCTGCCTCAAGGGTACGCGTTCCTCCTGGTTTCCCTTCAGACCAAATGCGCCACACAGAGCCTTAGAGTGCTAGCCAGCCACACAGGGTCAAACGGAGCCATACTCGCTCCCCAAGTTTCGGTGACTCGCAAAAATCATTCGGCGCTTCGCCTTCAGGCGTTACTTCGGGCGTGGGATGTGGTCTACTCGCTAGATATATCCTCGAGTTCTTGGACTTCGCTTGGCTGTGTCTTTCTTTGGGAAGAATGGCGGTTTTCCTTTTGGTTCCCCTGCAAAACCAGCCCGAAAGGGGGTACCCTCAAAAAAGGCACACAGGTTACCTGGTGGGAAGATCTTGCAGGCAATCAACAAGTTTGTGGACTTTGTTTGCATCCATCCACTGAACTGAGCCAACTCCAACCCTTCTTTGGGAACTCAGAACAAGCTAAAAGCTCTCTGAATTTGATCACATGGCACCACATTTAGGATAGGATCCTTCGCTTTTTGGAGGTTTGGCAAACATCCCCTTTGCAGAAATCCGCCAGACTTTGCCTTCCGGGTCCGAGCTAGATTTGTCACATCTCCCTTTGTCATACTTACATACCCCCTGCACTTGGAGACAAACCCAAACTCCCCCTTGATGCCACCAGGGAGACCTTGGTTTTACACAACTCAAGCCCTGGTTCCCATGTGGAAACCTAGATGAGGACGTTTAAAGAACGGCGGTTTAGGCAAAAGTGGCTTAAAGATGCCAACTCTCGTGGATTCTTATGGGTATATATAAATCTGTGTGTTTTTTTTTTTTTTTGGGGGGGGTGGATTTGGGGGGACCCCTTTTTAAAAGTATCAAACACAGGTGGGTCGCCCACCCGGGAACAAGGGGTACATCCAAACCCATTCGTCGCGCAGGCTCGCTCCGACGCCAATCGCGCCGTTTGCGACGCGGCAGCGCAGTGTGACGCCGTCGTGGCGGAGTGTATCCGCCAAGATGCAGAGGTCCAATGCATGGCGTCCGTGCCTTGGCTGTGCATACTGTGGATGGACGAAATCCTGCACCACTTTCAAACCATGGGAAGCCATTGTTTGTTGGCATTTACAGGCGCATCATCATTCCAAGGTGTCTTAGGCAGTGCGGAATGGATTTCGTCCATCCACAGTACTTCCTGGCAGATTTCGGGGATGTGAGTTCGTGGAATGCTTGTGCCGGAATATGTGAAACTATGCTTGGCAGCTTGGGGAAGGATTGAACTGCCCAAAGATCAGTCGAATTGATTGTCCGGCTCGCTCAATTGGAAGTTGGGAACCCGCCGTGATGCTGTGGATCCATGGGAATTTGAAGAGTGTAAGAAGCACGGGAGCTCGAAGAATACTTGCTTCCTGAGTTCCTGGACTTCATACTTGTTGGTATGACCATCCGTGGCACACAAAAAGTTCAGGCTTTTTTCTGGCCAATCCCCTCAGGAAGTGAGAAAACAAACGCCTCTGCCTCAATTCAAAGCTTTTGCTCCGATTATTGAGATCAGGCTTCCGCTCGGTTCCCCGATTCCGCTCTTAAGGACCCCTGAAGGAGGGCATGATTTGTTTCCCTCCATGATTCATTTGGGCCAACGAGCTTAGGGAACCGTGAGTCACCCACGGGCTTTGTTCAGGTCAGTTTAGACATTGCCTATGTGAGGGAGCTTGGTGTTTCAACAAGCAAAGATGTTGGCTAGAAGCTTAAACTCAGGAAGTGCGGTTCACTTCCTTGGACAGGGAGAAACTGCCCGAAGTTGTTTGTTTCAGCCCGCGTGATAAGATTGCACGTGTCCACAACTCCCCAACTTCGCAAGGAGCCTCCTGTGATTTGGATTTATCAACACCAGGTACTTTATGGTGTGGATTAGCAACCTAACATTAGTGGTTTTCTATCAGCTTTGCCTGAACAGCGCCCCAAAAATGGCTTCGTGAGGTTATACCTGGCGTCTCATACGCCTTAGCCGTCTACGCCTTTTAAGCGATCCCTCCTTTTGGATACATGCCATATCGGTGCGTCTGTTTTTGAGGCTTGGATGGTAAAGACAAACCATTTCGGGGGTCCCCCAAAAAGACACACCCATCTAGGTGGGCTTCTAACAGACCTCAGCGCTTGTTCGTCCAAGGCCGTTCCGCGCCCTTCGTGTGACGCCTGGGCCCAGTGTGGGGATGTGGCGAAACCGCACTCGCGGGATGCAGCAGCCCAATGTGACATGGAGGCAGGGGGTGGTTTAGTAGTGGCAAGCCGAGCCTATGTCTCTACTGCTATTGGGTTGGATCTTTAGACTTTAACTTTTTGGGTTCCCCACATATTTCCTTTTAACCAGCAGCAAGTTAAAATATGTTTGCTGGGATCTACAGCACCCAAGATGTTGAGTCGAGGTACGGTCCTGAAGCACACAGGAGGAAACTTCACCGTTCCTGGTGGCACCAATGTTGGTGTTCAGATATTTGGCGATGTGTGTCTTTGTATTGACCCATGTTTTGGGTGGGTGGGATTACAGGGAAGCCAAGAGGAACACAGACCCATGTTCTTGGGCTTCCACTGTTTTGGGTGGGATCACAGGGAAGCCAAGAGGAACACAGACCCATGATGACCCATGTTCTTGAATTTCCACTGGTGTTTGACCACCCAAGAGCCAAAAACCGGTGAATTTCCGGTATTGAATCCCCGGTGAATTCCCCGAGTTTTTGACCTCCCCGGTGAAATTTCTGGCGCAAAAAGCTGCAGGCCGCGCTGGTCTCCGAGACTTCCGGCGGAGCGGAGGTGGGCGAGTGTCTCTCACGCCCTGAAAGGGACCCCCCAAACTCAGAAAGGGAGGACTGAAGCAAATCAACCGTTCTTGGAGCTTGTTTTTTTGGGGGTCCCATTCTTTGGGGGGCAAAAAAATGGGACACCAAGGGGTTCGCAACCGAGTCGAATTTGGGGCCCCAGTGCCCCTAGTTCGAGACAAGCCCGGGCCACTGCTCTTGGCTCTTAAAGAAAGCATGCCAAGGATTGGAAAATGAGCCATAATCAAAACCTGGGTAGATGAAGGTTAGTAAGGGACGATCCCAACCATAAATACTAGTAGCTGCGGCCGCCTTCTTAGTTCTTTACATGGTTCTGGGTGCACCATTTTCATACCGGGTTTTGATTGTGGCTCAAATCGGCCGGCCGTCTCAAAATGGGGGCGCCTTGAAGGAGAAAACGTATTTTTGGGCCAGTGAAAAGCACCCACCAGGCCTTTAAAAGGGACCCCCGCGGTGGGTTCCGTGTTGGTGGTCTTTTATTTAGGGAACCTTGAAATGGTGGTCTTCCTTGTTGGCTTCCTATATTTTCTCGGAGCACCCTGGCTTTTGCCAACACGCAACAGCTCTAAACCTAGGTCCCCCAGTAGTGCCCTTTTACGCTTTTTCGGGGAAGGTTTCCCCTACTAAATTCTAACCTCTCTAATTACTGGAGGACCTAGAAACCCTAAACCCTAAACCCGCAATAGTATTCCTCAAAAACACGGACCCCAATGCTTTTTGGCTGTGCAGGCTGCGGCAGTGGCCGAGGCGGCCAAAGTGGAGCGCCGCCGGGCAGCAGCGCACCAGCTGCGCCTAGAGCGACAATGGGCGGAGGAGGCCATTCAGCGGTTTGGGCGTAGCACCCAGTTGCCCAGTGGTGCCCTTTTTCCTTTGTTTCTGGGAAGGGTTCCTTTTAAACTCAACCAACCAAAAAACAGGATGCCCTTTTTTCCCCTGGCCACTGGGCATCTGAGAGCAGATGCAGATGGCTACCGTCTCTTCTTGAGGCTTCCGTTTGCTTTTCATGTTGTTTGTTGATTTTCCCCTGTTGGTTTTAAAGGGAAACGATTTCACTACTGGAGATATGCTTATTTTTATTCTTCTAGGGGGCTTAACTAAATGGAAGGAGGGTACCTGTTAGTTTTAAAGGGACACCAAAGATAAAATCACAATTTTTGGGGACGCTCCAAACAACGACGCGCCCGGATGTGTTTTCTCTCTCCGATTTTCCCATAAATGTCAACACTTGAGGAACACCAACGACAAGCGGTTGGTGGACATGAATGCCAACCTAAATGATGTCCACACAAGGATCCTCTATTAAAACACGTTTCCATTTGTTGGGAAATGGGTTTGTCATAAGGGGGTGAGTCCAAGGGTGGGTCAAGCCTTTGTTTTCTTAGTCCATGGAATTTCACTGATTTTTTTTACAGAGGTGTGAAGATTCTCAGGACTGTAGTCTGGAATCTGGAGCACAAGCCTTGCGCACAGGAAAAAGCTGGATGCAAGCTTCACAATGAGAGTCCGGCGAATCTTGAAGAATGAATCCAGATATGCGTTAAAGCACTTCGAAGGATTTTGTTTGAGGCCCTACTAGATTGGAATCTTGAATAAAGCGCTTGGAAGCATCTTGTTTGAGGCCGTACTAGATTCAAGATTCAACTTGAGAGTCCTGCGAATCGTCAGTCTGATCCCAAATTGCTTATGGCCAGAACAAATGACTTGCCGTAAATACCAGCACATGCTTTTGGGGCGGTGTTTGTTTGTCTGTGTGTGTGTGCTTGTTTGTGTGTGTGTGGATGTTTTTGCTTGTTTGGCGGGGAGGGGAGGGTTACCAGATATATATATATATATAGATATTCCTTGATCTTTTGGGAGGGTGACAAAGCAGCCTTTGGCTGATTCTCCTCTTCAAAGCAAGAGGAACATCAAGAACGTGTTTTTTTTAGTGTCCTTGGAAGACCAAGGTACATATTCTTGGCGCTTCCCAGCGTCCGGTTCCTTAGGTTTTAGGTGTTGGGGCGAGAAAGTGGGGGCTGAGGGGATCTGAGAACAAAACCGCCATATATCTAAGGGTTTTTGTATCACACCCTGGGAATACACCCACTGGGTATTGACCCCATTTAGGCACATATCCGGATAAAACCGTGTTACCTGGAACCAGTCCGGGTCATTTTGAAGGGTGTAATCCCAGGGTGTAATACAAAAGCCCTCAGAAGGAAACCGCCATTCTAGGGCTTACTTCCAACCTTTTTTTTCAACCATCGTTCTTTTCAAAAACCGGATCCGTTTTCCCTGGGATTCCGGAGGTTTTCCAGAAAAGGATGCCTAGAAAGAATGGGGAAGGTACCCCTGGAGCCATATAAAACCCCTTTGATTCATTTGCCGCCTCTCATGTTTTGGCCTGCGCCAGGCCGCGGCAGCAGCAGCCGCGGCGGCAGACGCGGAAGGCCGGTGGCGGCAGGAGGCGGCGCAGCTGCGTGCGCAGCGGCAATGGGCGGAGGAGGCGGAATCGGCCGAGGATTTTTTTGGGTTGGGTTTGTCTCAATCACATAGGTGTCCTTATTAGGTTAATGTCGACTTCATGTTAGTAAACGGGGTCCCCCCCCGGTATATTAATATGGGGGTGTCCAACTGGGTTTAGTGGGGAATCAGCCCACTCTTGGAGGGGCCTCCACCCCCTTTTCATAAGCAGGTTGGTTGATTAATAGGGGTGAACGCTACCAAATAGCCGTAAAGATATTCTTGAGCATAGGTGTCCTTTTTAGGTTAGTGTGGTGAAGCATAGAAGGCACTGGCCACAAAAGTGAACATCTTTCGCGGGGTCAACAGCCACCAAGATAGGTTGATACGCCATCCCGACTGTCCATCTACAGTATTCTTAATTTGGCTTGCTTCAGAATAGGAGCCCCGGAATGGTGTCCTTTTGGTTCCCCAAGAAAAAGACAACCCCGAAAAGGGTAATTACCGAGCCTCAAAACCAGCGAAAGGCATACAGACACCCTCCTGCGCTGTTGGCATGGGTTTTAGTCTTTTGGTCCTCTGCCAAAAGAAGCCGAAGCTTGTGCTCCAATGATTGGCAATCCTCTGGGCCCCCATACCACTTCAGCCCAATTGACTTGGTGGCTCCCAGCCATGCCCTTAGCCTTTTAGCTTAGTGTTTAGTGGTAGTTTCCATTTAACCCACTGAAAGTTAATTCTTTTAGCAGGGGATCTGAGGGCATCCCAATTGAAAGGAGTATGGGTCAAGCATAAGTCAGAGGCCATCAAGCCCCAAGCACACATGCGCCACGGACCTGCTGGGTGTGGCTGCGGTATCTTTTTTTGTGGAGTTTCGGTCGGTTTTGAGAGCTGATGGGTGAGAGAGCTGATGGAAGTGGTTTTACAAGGGGGTGAATGATTGAGACAATGGGTTTGCCATGAGTCTAAACCGCGCAAACATCCACGAAGGTTCCTGGTCGTATGTTTGCCGGGTGTTTTGGAGGAGCCCCCCTCTGGCATGTGTCTCAAGATGAAGCTGCCAAGATCGGCGCCGCTGTCCCTTTCAGGCTCCTTTGTTGCCGCAACAAAAAAAGGCACATATATATATATATATATATATATTATATCTATATTATATCTATATATATATATATATTGTATATATGTATATATATATGTATGAAGGCTGGACAATTATCAATGCAGGCTATTGTAGTAATTATGGATAGTTATGCAGTCTGGGTGAGATTGTTACTTATGCCAGTATTAATGTTCCTTGAAGGTGGAAGCTGCCAGCCGCTTAGGAAGGGTGCCAGAATGGAGACAAGCAAGCGGATGATAAGAAGGCAACCCGGAAGCCAAAACGCAGGGTTTGGGCTGGGAACCCACGTGGTCATTCTTCTGGAAGTGCTGTTGACTTCGAATTCATCCGGAGTCAGGGGCGGCTCCCCTTTTACTTGCTGGTGCGATAAGTGAATGAGGGAATGAACCCAGGGATTTACCAGAAGCCACAAGGGATGCTGAAGGGTCATTCCATTTCTCATTCCCTGCCTATCGCAGCGATCGCAAGTTTCGCAAGGAAATGGTGCTGCGGTTCCCCTCGCTTCTGGGACCCGCTGTGAACGTGCGCTCTCCGGAGATTTGGCTGCGGGTCAAAACCCGGATCCCATTTTGGGCTAGGTGAATTCACCACCCAGTTTAGAACCTATTTTAGTGGGGCTTGGGATGTTCACTGGGCGCACGGGATTTTGACCCAGGCCCATTTGGGGTCGGCAGCTCCCTCGCAGGCAGCCGCCAGCTCCGAGCGCGCGGAGCAGGGGCTTCTGGAGGCGCAGCAGGAGCTGCGCCTGGAGCGGCGGAGAGTTGAGGAGGCGGAGAGCTTCGCCGGGCGTGGCTTGAGTGGGGCGTGCCTCCTTCTCACTTCCTGAGTTCATGAACTTTAAACTTTTTGGGAAGACCATTTTAGTGGTAAATATAAAGTTTGGACTTTTTATGGGCCATCCACTCAGCCAGTGAGCCTTTGAAGGGATGTTGGACGCAGAGGCGGGTCATCCCTCTTCATCCGCTAGCATAGCATGGGAGGCTAATGACCTGGAAGATTCGAAGATCAAGTTCCGCTTCAAGGGACGCTCTGTCAAGTGCCATGTTAGTGGGAGGGAGGGTATTTTTCTTGGTTGTTTGTTTCCCCGCATTCGCGGGGAGCCGATGTTGATTGAGGGATGGTCGGTCGGAGCCTTCCCATCATTTCCCCACACCATGTGCAAGTGGTTGAAGTCAACTTGTTTTGCAGCCTTGATTGCTCCCTCTTTGGCATTTGTGCATTCTTTACCCAAATCTTGCAAGCCGGCAGGGGACTTTTTACTTTTGCAAAGAGGGAGACAGGGTCACAACCAAACAGAAACCCATACACACACAAACAAACACAAACACAGGCACAGACACAGACACATGCACACACGCACACACGGACACAGGCACGGGCACAGACACCAACACAAACACAAACACAAACGCACATGCCCACGCACACGCACACCCACACCCACACTCGCGCATGCACCCGCACCCGCACGCACACACACGCACAGGCACTCACACGCACACGTGCAAGCCGGCATGCAGGCACGCAAGCACACCGCACACCAAGCACCACACATCACAGACCACACACCACACACAACAGACACACACACACACACACGACTTGAAACACACAATCAGTGATAAAACCAGGTTGGTAACCCCGTTGAGAGTGGTCCCCGTTGAGACTGGTCCTCAGTTGAAACTGGTTGCCGGTAACCCAGTTGAAACATGAAAGCCAACCGCCCACAACGAAAGCGGTGCAACAACCAAACGCGACCGCAACAAAAACCGTGCTTTGACTTGGCTGTTGAAAGGCAGTCCTCAATCCTTACGAACAGAGTTTGGTCCTCGGTTTTCCAAATGGAATTTCGGAGCAACACTCCAACTTAGCGCCAATAGAATGGGGTGTCACAATCTTGATGGCTCCGAGCCATCCCCTGAGCTTTTTAGCTTTTCTTAGTGTTTAGTGGGGATGTCCATCTAACCCGCTGAGACTTAAGCTTTTAGCGGGTTAACTTTTAGCTGGACCCTCTTTTGGTTGATGAAAGCGCACCTTGGGATCCGGAGGAAGAGCTTCGCCTGGAGCGCAGGGTGGAGGAGGCGCGGAAGGAGGGGGGTCTCCAAAGAAGCGCCCAAAACCGAGGGAAGAGGGCCATCCAGTAGATGGTCCTACTGTGGATGGACGAAACCTGCACCACCTAAGAAACTTTGGAATGATGATTCCCCGGAGTTTAGAGTAGGTGGTCCTATCACCTGGTGTCACAAAGGTAGTAAAGCCAAAAAGGAACCTTTTTCATGTTAGTAGAACCAACAGTGAATGATTCGGTTTTGGCGCTCAAACGAGGTAAGGAAGGCAAAAATAATCAGGGCCGACTCCAAATGTTGCTTGCTTGGTCGGTACCAGGGGCCCCCAAAAACAGAGCCAGGAAAGCCTCAGTTCTGCGCAGACCAGATTGAAATCCTTCTAACCCAGCCAGCCAGCATAGTGTCCAAAGGCAAGCCCTGAAACCCGTGGACGCAAAGGGGGGAGGTTTTCAATCGCGGTTGGTTACACAGATTGTCACTCCAAGTCGGACAGCAAATCTACTTAACTAAACACCCTTCATGACCGAGAGCCTCATGAAATTGGTTGACAGACTAAATTTTGATTTGAGGGGTGTCTTTTTCGGGGACCCCCAAACGCGAGTGTTGTTTTTTTGTTTCCCCGTTTCCCTTCAAAACCACCAAAAAAGCGGTACCCTCAAAAGAAGACACACCCATGTTTTCAGTTTGAATATCCGCACCGAAGAAATCGTACGCTAGGTCCCCCAGCTAGGTGCCAACTTCTACCGTTTCTTTTCTGGGGAGGGTTCCCCTACTACAATTGACAAACCCGGGCGAAAAAAAAAAACAAGTGTTTCAACTCATTCTAAGCTCTCTACTGGAGGACCTAGGAAGCTCAACCCCAGCCTTGCAACCGAGGTGGAGGAGACCGCAGAGCGCGCCTCGCGCGCGGAGGTGGAGAAGGAGCCGAGCGGGGGCGGGGTTAAGGGAAGAGGTGGGCCACGGGGATCTTTGGAAAAGCGACCCGTTGGTGTGTTTCCTTTTGCTTTTTCTTTTCGGGGAGGTTTTTCCAAGGACATATATACTTTGTTGCATTTTGCCAAGGGATGTTAGGACTTTAACTTTTTGCCAACTCATAGGTGTCCATATTAAACCTCTAAAAGTAAAAAAAACAATAAACAAAATAAAGCTGGGGAGCAGAAAGCAACCGGGGGATGAGTGACGACTCAGGGGAGCGTCTTGCTGCACTCTTTTTGGGGGGCACCCCCAAATATCCGCCAGGTTGATTCAACTTCTGTGACACAAGGGGATCTCCCCCTTTTTCTGTAGAGTTAGTCTTTGGGAATCCCTTTCTGTTGTATCACAGAAGATTCCATTTCAACCACAGCCCTGGAATCCTTCCTTCACTTCCATTTGCCGAAGAATAGGTTTCATTCGTTGATTTCCCATTCTTTTCAACCATCGTTCTTTCCAAAGACCGGATCCGTTTTCCCTCGGTTTCCGGAGGAATTCTAGAAAGAAGGATCCCTGGAAAGAATGGCAATGGAAGGTACCCCTAGAAATCTTCACTGTTCTTGGCATGTTTCTTTCTCTTTTTTTAAACAAGTTTTTTGGTTCTGTTCATTTTTGCTGGTCTGCAAAAAACAGACAGTTCTTCGCTACCATACCAAGAGTAGAGATGAAATAGAAGTTCATCATTTTTTTTGGGCGATTTCGCCAGGCCGAGGCCGCGTTTGCGCGGCGCGTGGAGCTGCGGCAAGCCTCGGAGCTGCGCGCTGAGCAGCTGGAAAAGCGGCGAAGCGAGGAGGAGACGGGGCACATGGCACAGGAATATGGTCTTCTTTGGTGCATTTTTGCTTCAACTAATGGGTTTTCCATTAAGCCTCTCAAAGTTAAACTTTTAGCAGGGGAGCAGAAAGCAACGGAGTCTTGGTTTTAGGGGAAACCACCAGGTTTTGGTTGCAAAAAAGATCTAGCAGGTCCAAACTAGCTCTGTCTGCCAAGCTCCAACTGCAAGACTTTGCAGCTCTGCCAACCTGCCTATGTTTCCACACTGCAGTGCCCAAGCACGGCTGCAGGCCTGGCAAGGTGGCAAATTTGTCCAGTCTGCACGGGTTCCTGTTCAGCTTATTGCCCAAGCAAGGCTATGGTTGCAACATTGCAAATCTGCCAAAGTTTCAACTACTTTGAATTTAAGAAAAGCAACAAAGGATGTCTGCATACCGCAAAGGGTCCCAAAACAAATATATGCCCAAAGGGGCTAATTACTACTACTGGTTGCTCCTACATACAATCATAACTAACCTTGCTGTCATAGGACCCGCCCCATTGGAACTGCTTCGCCTCTTGTATTACGATTTTTTGATGGGTTCAACAGGGCCGCTGAAGAATTTATAAGTGTACCGATGTGGATGCAGTTTCTTCCGGAATGAGCAGATATCAGTGATCAGGTAACCCTTACTTGGCGGTTTAACTTGGTGGTTTGGGGATTTGAACCCCTGGTTCTTGTAGGAAATTGTGCTTAACCACCAAACCACCAATCCAAGCCACCAACTAGAGGGAAGTTGATGCTAGATATCCTGCCTGTTGTCAGGTGGTTAGCGCGTACAATCCTTTTCGGGTGATTGTTGACTCTGGTTGGGGGTCTTCCTGCAAAAAGAGCTGTAACTTCACTGTTCTTGGCATGTTGTTTTTGATTCTGTTCATTTTGGGCATGCGTCCTGTTAGGACCCGCAGTGTTTTGGCGGCGGTGAAATCTGTTGCATGCGTGCGTATTACTACAAACACTTCACATTACCCACCTCGACCAAAATACTTTTAACTAACTTCCCGGCCCTGGGACCGAGGCGAATTATTTGGCAGGCATGTGCGCAGTTCGGCGCGGACACGAGTGAGCGGGGCTGATCATTTGAAGGCCTGTGTGCAGTGCTACGTGGGCGCACTTGACGTGAGCGGTGCTTACTTACCATTTTGCGGGGTCATGTGCAGTTTTACGCGGGCACACTTGAGCAGGTGTGCTTACTTACCATTTGGCGGGCACGTGTGCAGTGCTACGTGGGCGCACTTGAGCGGTGCTTACTTACCATTTGGCAGGCGTGTGTGTGCAGTGCTACGTGGGCGCACTTGAGCGGGTGTGCTTACTTACCATTCGTCGGGCGCGTGTGCAGTGCTACGTGGGCGCACTTGACGTGAGCGGTGCTTACGTACCAGTATGCGGGGTCATGTGCAGTTTTACGCGGGCACACTTGAGCGGGTGTGCTTACTTACCATTTGGCGGGCGCGTGTGCAGTGCTACGTGGGCGCACTTGAGCGGTGCTTACTTACCATTTGGCAGGCGTGTGTGTGCAGTTTTACGCAGGCACACTTGAGCGGGTGTGCTTACTTACCATTTGGCGGGCGCGTGTGCAGTGCTACGTGGGCGCACTTGAGCGGTGCTTACTTACCATTTGGCAGGCGTGTGTGTGTGAAGTGCTACGTGGGCGCACTTGAGCGGTGCTTACTTACCATGTGGCAGGCGTGTGTGTGCAGTGCTACGTGGGCGCACTTGAGCGGTGCTTACTTACCATTTGGCAGGCGTGTGTGTGCAGTGCTACGTGGGCGCACTTGAGCGGTGCTTCCTTACCATTTGGCAGGCGTGTGTGTGCAGTGCTACGTGGGCGCACTTGAGCGGTGCTTACTTACCATTTGGCAGGCGTGTGTGTGCAGTGCTACGTGGGCGCACTTGAGCGGTGTGCAGGCGTGCAGTGGCGCACTTGAGCGGTGCTTACTTACCATTTGGCAGGCGTGTGTGTGCAGTGCTACGTGGGCGCACTTGAGCGGTGCTTACTTACCATTTGGCAGGCGTGTGTGTGCAGTGCTACGTGGGCGCACTTGAGCGGTGCTTACTTACCATTTGGCAGGCGTGTGTGTGTGCAGTGCTACGTGGGCGCACTTGAGCGGTGCTTACTTACCATTTCGCAGGCGTGTGTGTGCAGTGCTACGTGGGCGCACTTGAGCGGTGCTTACTTAGCATTTGGCAGGCGTGTGTGTGTGCAGTGCTACGTGGGCGCACTTGAGCGGTGCTTACTTACCATTTGGCAGGCGTGTGTGTGCAGTGCTACGTGGGCGCACTTGAGCGGTGCTTACTTACCATTTGGCAGGCGTGTGTGTGCAGTGGTACGCGGGCGCACGTGAGCGGTGCTTACATTGGGCGCCCCTCGCCACTGGCGTCAGGAGCTGTCGAAGGCCCAGTCCGCGCTGCTCGCCTCGGAGCGCCTCGTGCGCTCCATGGAGCGCCGCCTGGCCCGGGAGGCCGCGGCCGCTTCTGCCGCGGAGGGCGAGGCCGCGGCCTCCGCGGCGGCTGAGCTCAGCGCGGCTGAGGCCGCGGCTGCGGTGCAGGCGGGGCAACGGGCAATGTGTTTTGTTCAGGATTCCCTTGTGGTGGTGGTTTTTGCAGGAATCCAACTATGTCGTCTTTGTCTTTTTTTCAGGATACCCCTGTTTTGAGGTTGGCTTCAAGCAGCCAGCTGTCACTTTTGTGCCCGGACCCCCCCCAGCTTTGACAAACAACATCTCCCCCATCTCCGCTGTGCAGGAGGAGACCAGGCTTCTCGGCCTGGAGCGCGCCCAGGAGGCCAAAGCCGCCCTCCAGGCGCGGGAGGAAGCGCAGCGCTGCTCGCCATGCGAAGTTGCGTAGACCGTGGCACGCGTGGCGCCTTTTCGGTAGGAATCGGCACCCTCCAAAAGATGACGTTCTCCCTTTGGTTTCCCTTTAACATCTACCAAAAAGGGATTCCCCCTTAAAAACGACGGAGACACACACCCAGTGGTTTTGGTACCTCCTTGGTTAAGCTCGCAGGGACCCCAAAATGGGGACTGCCTTTGGGCGGGTCCATTTCGATACGATCGCAGGCAATTGCAAACACCCATTTCGCCTGTTTGCCTTGCGGGTTTAAGCTGTGACGGTATTTTGACGTCGGCCCTTCCCCCTCGAACAGCACCTTTTGCAATTCCCCAAACGCCTCTATTCAAGGTGATTGGGAACAATTGTGTTTTTTGTGCCAAGGCTGGGGAAATATCGAACGTCCTCAAAATCAGTTACCGTGTGAATGGTGAAACAATTGTTGGCCCTTCCCCAAAAATAAATCTTGAGGTTGGGGTCGGCGAAGGGTTTTTTCCTTGGCCAGTCTAGGGCTTTGAGAGGAAACTTGAGAACCTCCGAAAATGGAACCACTCTGAGGGGGGAGGGTTCCTTGCCCTTCAAAGGTCCACGGTGAATTCCATGTGAATCTGCAGGGCGAAAATGGTACCTTGGTTGACCAACCAGACGACTTCTAGGTCCCCCAGTACTGCCCTTCTCCCCTTTTTTTTGGGGAGATTCGGTTCCCCTACTACAATAGACTACAGAGAAAAAGCAAAGGGTACCCTTATTCTAACCTCTCCAGTAGGACCTAGTTGACCAAACAAACATGATTTGCCGGACATCGTCTGGCTCCGCCCGGTTGCCCGTTCTCCGAGGCTACCGCCAGGATTTCCTGGCGGCGTCTTCCGAGCTGCTGCTTGTGAGGGGCCAGCTGAGTCAGCTGCAGAGGCGAGACTGGGGTGCCTCGATCGGGATCCTCTCTAAATTTGGGTTTTTGTTGTCAAAAACCGGTACCCAAAATGGGTTGCCCTGGTAAATGGAAACAAGTCGACTGGAAAACCTGCGGTCTCCTGGCAGTGGAATTTCGACTCATGCCCGTATGACACATAATTTGAACATAGTGGATGGTTACGAAATCCAAGCAACACACACCACCTAAGAAACCCTTCTGATGATTCCCCTGTAAATACCAACAAACAAAAGTGGTGCAGGATTTTGTCCATGCACCGTAGTATAAAATGTGTTGTCGCGATTGGAACGTGTTTGTTTTTACATACAGGGTTCCCTTGATTTCCAACCTAAAAAACACTACCGACGGAAACTCACCTTTCAGGGAAAGTAATAAAGTGGTTGAGCAGTTATGCGGAGGGAATTAAATAGATTGTATCACAGGAAGAGGCCTTGCCATGTCCCACAACCAGATTGTGGACCCCTTCAACAAGAATCCGTTCAAGGTCTTTGGCGCTCTAAGGATGGCCACTTGGGACACCCTTTAGAGAATCCGCTTCGAAGTGACGAGTTCTTTTTCACAACTCAGTGTTTCTGTTTAAAAGTGGGACCATTGTGGCTTACCCCCCCCCGGCAAAATGTAACATGCTCACCAAGCGGGGTCCTCCAAAAGGGCCTCTCCAGGGTGTCTACAGCATCGGGGGTGCCTGACTTCCCAGTCAGGTTCCATGTTAGTTGTGGCATGATGCGTCGGGCAATTCAAGGAGAGTATCTCCTCAACGGACCTGTTGGGTTGCTTCGGGTGAAGGAAGCGAGAAAAGCGCTTGGTGAGTCATTTATGTTGGTGCGAGGTGATTCTACCTGGCTTACTTGGAGTAGTGAAGCCTAATATAAAACTTCACAATCAGAGAGAGCCAAGGCCAAGGGATGAAACGTGTGCTCATGTGAGCCACAATCAAAACCCGGGTAAATGAAGGTGAGTAAGAGACAATCCCCTTGCCATAAATAGTTGCGGCCGCCTTTGTATTTCCTGAAGCATGGTTCTGGGTCAAAATTTAACCACCAGAGGACCGCAGGGTTTAGTCCTTGGTTCCATTTACCAGTGCAGCCCATTTGGGGTACCGTTTTTGACAACCGCACCCACATGATTCCGGGTTTATAGACTACAGAAAAAGGCCGCCCTTAATTATTCTAACCTCTCTACTGGAGGACCTAGATAAAACTTCACACTCAGAGCCAAAGGACAAGGGATGAAACGTGTGCTCATGTGAGCCACAATCAAAACCCGGGTAAATGAAGGTGAGTAAGGGACACTTCCCCGGCTTCTATTTGGGGTACCGTTTTTGACCACCACACCCACATTGTTCTGGGTAGAGACTATTTTACTCCCGGGTTTTGCTTGTGGCTCATGTTGGTCCGGACCAACTCTTGGCCCAGGGAGCTCCTAGCCGCACGCGCCGCTCGGGTTCCAAGCCGCACGGAGAGCCTGCCGGCGCCGCACTTCCGGGCACAGGCCGATGGGCCGATCGCTTGGGTCCCCGATCGATTTCCACCCTCGGTTTCAAGCATCCGGAAACGGCAACCACCACCCCAGATTCCCGCCTCATCAACCAACACCTGCAGTGGGCCCGCCCACCAAAACTCCCCTTTGGCCTTTGGCCCAACTGTACATCGAAAACTCTCATTTGGTGGGCCCAGAGCGTGGATTTCAGGGGTGAGCAGAGCACTTGGGCCGAGCCCCACAGAAGATCCGCAGCGATTTGGGGTCGGGCGTGGCCTGAAACAGACCAAATTCCAGATTTTCCCCACTCGCATTTGGCGTACCCCTCCCATCCACGTTGCAATGGAACCTGATGTTTCGGGGTTCTGGTTTGGACTATGTCCTTGTAAAATGACACATTTCTGTGGACTGGTGGACAGGAGGGAAAAACAAACACATCTCACTTTAAAGCGGACCCAGGGACAGGAGGGGGAAAACACATTTCGCGTTAAAATGGACCCCCTGAATGGTTCCGTGGCAACGTGGACAGGGAAAAAAACATCAGATGGACAGGAGGGAAAACACACACACACACACACACAGACACACACACACACACACAGACACGCGTCGCTTTAAAGTTGACCCAGGAGCCCATCACCGAGCCCGTCGCCAAGCCCGTCACCGCTGAGCCCGTCACCGCGTTGCCGCCTGCGGCTCCGGAAGACCCGCCGCGAGAGCGGGCCCTGCCTTTGGCGGAGCGCGCGCTGCGGCTGCGAGCGGCGGAGCTGAAGCGCAGCCTTGCCAGGCCGTCTGGACTTCAATGCAGGGTTGGATCTTTCGCAGGCATGTGGCTGTGGGTCAAAACCAATGGTGCCATTTTAGGGTGGGTGCACCAATGGGAGCATGTGGCTGCGGTGGTCAAAGCCGTTTTGGGACCCCATTTTGGTTGGTAGGTGAATTCACCACCCATTTTAGCACCTATTTTAGTGGGGATTGGGATGTTCACTGGGGGCAGGGGTTTTTGACCTATGGCCATGAAGCTTCTTGGTTGCAAGGATGATTTTCCCAACTTTGTGGGCAGTGGGGTAGCCAGCAAATCAAGGAAGCAACCTGCAGTATTGAATAGGCTGAGTCTAGTCTAGACGAATCGAATGACGTCGATTCACATCAAACAAGAATACGAATCTGTCCGAGAACATCCCCGACCTCCAGCGGGGCGTAACTCATGACTCCGTTTTGAAATCAAGCAGCCTAAGAATCTGGAGATCCCAAAATCCAATCTCTCCAGAGGGCCGCAGTCCTTCCATGGGTGGGTCAAAGACTACAACTCCAAGGGTTGACGACTTGGACGCAGCCGACCCTCTTTGGATGTCCACCTAAGGGGGGGGGAGTGCGCGAACGAAAAAGGGCACCGAACCACCGCTTCTGGGTTTCTTCTTGGCCGCAACGCCCCCAAGTTCATGGAGCGTTTCGGCCCAACAAATCCCCTGAATGTGCCTCCAACATCAGAGCCACTTGCTCCAGATGAAGGAGGGATCATCCCACCCCTCTAGTATGGGCGCGGCAATCCTTCTTGATCAGGTGGCTAGAAAGACCTCAAAATACCGATGGGTCTTGATCAGATGAGGATCTGAGCTGTTCAAGTTGGGAGACACCACCTATTTCAAGACCGATCGGTTTCGAGGAACAGATAAAGAAAATCATCCTGAGTTTCTAGGGTAACCTTCTTTCAGATGTTGGATATGAACATCGGCGTCCTAACTCGTCAGCCCTTCGCCGGAACCCAGTGGCCAAGGGTAACGAGGTGCCAAGGTAACCAGGTGCTAAGGTAACGTGCTAAGAAAGATGTGAGATGGGCTGAACAGCAAACATGATTTTCATGGTTTGGTTGAAGCATGTCTTGCTGCTTGAGAGGCGCAGGGGCATGAGAAATGGCCCATGCCCCCGCTTCAATCCATCCAACTGGTGGTTTCCTTAAGAGAATCCCCCAGGTTCATGCCCTCATTCCCCGCTGAGCACCAGCATCCCCTCCATCGCGAAGAGGAGAAAGTTAACTTGAAATTGGCGAAAAAAGGCGCTGTCTAACACAACCCTTTCGGAAATATGCGGAGCCCTGTCCTTTTCTGCTAGGACTTTGGAGGGTGCTAGCTTGCTTTCCTTGAAGGGAGATCTAAGCTGAGGGTTAGTTTAAAACTGCCACCAGGTGAATTGCTCCTTAGCGGCGGGCCGCACATCAGAGTTCACGGTTTCTGTTTTTTCAAGAGTCGATCCAAGAGCAGCTCTCTTTGTGTTTCCCTAAGGCTACCCGGTGTTGGTTGTTTGAGCAAAACACGAGCTCTTTTTGACCCACCAAATGGCTTCGGTCTTCCTTTGGTTCAAGACAACCCCCACATTTCGAAGGGCTTCATCCCCCAAACTCTTTCTTCCCGTCGTTCACCTCAGGCACCCGTTTCCTTGGCCTTTGGGCCAGAAAATGACCCCAAATGCCAAATGGGAGGTTCTCAGGGAAGGTCCAACCGATGGGTTCCTTTTCTTCGGGAATCCCCACCGGTTGGCTTCCCAAAGCCCGGAAATCTTGGAAAGTCCCCTACCTGTTGCGCCAGCGTTCATGCGATATTTCAGGGAGCTTCGAACAAACCCCCAAGTGCGGGTTCACAAGATCCTGTCAACATATGAGGGGTGGACTCAGGATACACTACACATTGTACCAGTGACTCAAAGTGAATCAAACCATGACCATGGAGTATATATTCTATACCTGGGCGTCCATTTGCTTAAGACTATTGTTTATTTTCCCTGTTGGTTTTCAAGGGAATCTATCACTGTCGTGTTTTGTTCCCAGGAAACTTTTTTGCAAATGGAGGTGGGCCTAATGTGCATACTGTACCACCTCCAACCAAGCTACTCTTTGTGTTTTTGTGTTGTTATTTTTCTCCAGGGTTTCAAAAGAAAAGGGTGGGTCTCCAGGTATGAAAAGGGGGGGGGGAAGATCCGCCTTTCATACCTGGCTGGGGCCATGCCTGGGGCCAACCCACCGCACCCACCCCACCCCACCCCACCCAAGCGCACAGCAGGAGTGGAACATCTGGATGTTCAGGCACAAGATGTGGATCTTTCACGTTCTTGGGGAGGTATTGAATAATGTAAGCTTGTCAGATCTGTGGGATTTGTTGAGTTCACCCCACGCACCGACGCACCCCACGACGCACCCCACGCCCGCCGCACCCCCCAAACGGAGCGCCAGGAGCGACCGCTTCGGGGAGCTGCGGCTGGAGATCGCCCAGGCGGCGGAGGATCGGAGGCGCTGCTTCCGGTCCGTCAGCTCCTCCTCGTCCTCCCCGTCCGAGGTGCGGTGAGGGATGGGGGGGAGGGATGGGGGCGACGGGGGCGACGGGGCTGTTGACCTGTGGCCTGTGCTGTTGGGTTTATGGTTGGCTGGCCTGAGGGTTTTTGGTTGGCCTGTTGGTTTGCGCTGGCGACTGGCGACTGGCTGGGGGTTTTGGAGTTGAAACGGGGTCATTTGGGGTGTGTCGCTTTTGGACTTGAAAGGAACACCCTACGTGTTTTGGACGTTTTGTTGGGCTTGTGAAAGGGAAACCAGAAGGAAAACCACAATTTGTCGGTGCTTGATGATATATTTCATCTTCTTTCTATTCCTTTTTTTTCCGTCCTATTTCTCTTTTGTTTATTTTATATTTCCCTTTCTCTTTCTCTTTCTCTTTCTCTTTATTGTTCTCTTGCTCTTCATCTTTCTCGTCTCTTTCTCTTTCTCTTTTGTTTTGTCTTTTGTTTTCTCTCCCTTAGGTTTATCTTTACTTTTCTCTTTCTCTTTCGCTCTCTCTTTCATTTTCTCGTTCGCTTTCTCTTTCGTTTTCTTTTTCCCTTTCAACTTCCCTTTCTCTCTCTCTCTCTCAATCCTTCTCATTATCTCCAATTTGTTTGTTTCTCTTTCTATTTATTTCTCTTCTGTTGCTCTTTCTATTTCTTGGCCATTTTTTCTCAGCTCTCTCTCTCTCTCTCTCTCTCTCTCTTTCCTTTCGCCTTTTTTTTCTCCTTTCTCTCTTTCTGTCTTCATATGTGCGGGCGCATTGTTTCTCGCTTATTCTTCTATCAAACGCACAGAAATTTCTGGGAGTTTTGGGTAATGGGTACGATTGGAGGAAAACTGGGCGTTCCAGTACGAACCGCTGGAAAACTAGTACGAAGGCCGGCATGTAAGGTGCTGCCGGTCGTTTGGAGGATATTTGAGCCAACAAGATCCACTCCCCCGCACAGCTAGGATTGAAGGGTGTTGATGGAGGGAAGGATTTGAAGGGTTGTCGAGCTTAAAAGTTTCAGAAGATTCGAAAATCAGGTTTACTGGGCACCATCAAGCTGAATGAGAGAGAAAGACCTGTGCAAGAAGGAAACACCCAATAATTCCAATTTCTAGGCGTCTTAGTCGTTTTGCGGTAAAAAATGATACGAACCGGGCAAAATGAATACAATGACCAAAACACCTACTTTTTTTTAGTCGTTTGAAGCTGCAGGTGGTCTTCTGTCAGAGATCTATCTTTCAATGAGTGTCCGCACCACAGACTTTCCTTCTAAGCTTCCTTTGACCAACCTAGAAGCGTCTGTCTTTGAAGGTCCCCTATTTTGAGACAAGCCCTACGCAAGACAGGCGTATCTTCGGAGTAAAACAATTTGAACAGTTTCTCGAGTTGGTATATATGTTCCAGGCCGTGAACCCCCCTTCCCAAGTGTTTTTGTTTTGTTTTTTATCGAGATCTGGAAGTATAATGGGTGTGTCATTTTTGAGGGTACCCCTTTGTTGTGGTTTAACACAAAACCAACAGGAACAGCTTGGAGGTACCCTGCAAACAGGAACACTCAAAGCTTACCCGGCTTGCGCCGAGGTATCCGTGTCGCTGCGCCCGAGGAAAGAGTTGAAGCGCGAATCGGGGTGCTCGGGAGCGCGAATCGGGAGGATGGTGGCGAAATCGATTTCGCGTAAGAAACCCGGGAACGATTGATTTGTGAATAACAACAAGCAATCGTTGCCCATGTTTTCAAAGGCTCGTGTGCAGATGTCTCCCTCCATATTGTGTTGCCTATGTCGCACAGGACGTGCCACCCAAGAGCTGACACCAGTACTTTCGACTTCAACAGCTAGTGCTGTATGTTCACTTGATATGTTCACTTTTGGGAAGGATCAAGCATTACAGCTTCACAGCTATTCAAAGACGTTTCCTTAAATGGGGTAATGTTTGAGTGTTCTTTTTCCCTGAGGTAATGATGCCTGTTGCTCTTGGGGCTAAAGACGCGGCCCGTCCCTTTCTCCAAATTTCTGCTTTGCGAAGAGGTGCTGAAAGCCGCCCAAGTTCAGAGTTTGCCTCCCCTGTTGACACGAACCCAAATATAAGTCCTGGCAGGGGTGGGGGTGGGGGTGGGGGTGGAGGGTGGGGGGTGGGGGGTGGGGGGTGGGGGGTGGGGGGTGGGGGGTGGGGGGTGGGGGGTGGGGGGTGGGGGAGACTGATTGAGTGGTCGCCCGTAAATCCTGGCAGACTGATTGAGTCGCCCGTAAATCGGACACCCCAATCCTTTCACCAGGGTTTGACCTTTCAACAGGAGCCCCCCCCGGCCCAAACCCCCAAACCCGAAATGGATGGGTTCCGTAACACTACGGCCCAGGGGTGATCCTTTTGTAACAAGCTTTACCCAGTTGCCCAGTGGTGCCCTTTTTTCCTTTTTGTTGGGAAGGGTTCCCTTTAAGCTTAACCAACCAAAAAAGGATGCCCCTTTTGTTTCCCATGGAAATCCGCTGGGAATCTGAGTTTAAAAGGGACAATCAAGCGCACTGGGGTCTTAAATTGGGATCTTTCGTTTTGGAACAACCCCTATTTCAGCGAGAGTGCGTGCGTGCGTGCGTGCGTGCGTGCGTGTGTGCGTGCGTGCGTGCGTGCGTGCGTGCGTGCGTGCGTGCGTGCGTGCGTGCGTGTGTGTGTGTCTTGTGTGTGTGTGTGTCTCAGGTCTTTTGATGGCTTTCCTTTTTTTGCCCTGTGAAAAGAGCAACATAGAGAATCACACGTTTTGCAAGTCAAGGCGTCTCCTGCCTGGCACGTTGCATCTTCATCGCACGCCGCGGTCAGGCGCGTGTGCGCGATGTGCGGGTGCAGCTGTCGGGGTGGGCAGCAGGGATGGTCGCAATGTTTGCTAGATTTTCCCAACATGGACAGGCTTGGCTGAGCTTTTCAACTATGTCCTTTTTTTTCCGGTGTTTCCTTTGTTTTCCCTAACCAGCTGTCTCGCCACTTGGCTCCCCACTTGCCTCTTACTTGTCTCTGCTTGTCTCCCTGCTTATGCTTGGTTTGGACCTTGTCATGGCTTGTCAACACGTGAAGAGCCACCAGGCAGTGCAATCGAGCATACACGAACACACACACACACAGACACACAGTCCGCCCAAATCTCCACGAACAGATCCGTTGCGCAAGTGAGTCATAATCAAAGCCCGGTATTAAAATGGTCTACCCAGAACCATGTCAAGAATTGAGAAGGCGGCCGAAGCTATTTATGGCTGGGAGCATCCCTTACTAACCTTCATCTACCCGGGTTTTGAGCAAGTGGCTCAAGTGAGGACGTGGTGTGGACAGTCCGAAGGTGGAGCCACGACAGGTGTTATATTTGTGTTGTCCCTGGCCAGGCCGAGGAAGACGAGTTGAGCCAACGCAAACCGGGGTCGAAGGTTAGGGAAACACGTCAATGCACTTTCAAAGGGAAACACTTTGATCCAGTTTTGGCCAAGCAAGACGAGCTTGGACACATTTGTTTCATCGTTGCAGAGGAAGAAAGGATCATCCTTTGCAGGGAAACAAACTGATCAAGTTTGCAGAGTAAACATGTGGATGTGGGACGTGTCTTTCATATTGAAAGGGAAACCAAAAGGAAAACACTCCAAAGGCACAGCTTCATTTTCATCCCTTTGCGCCCAGGTGGCTGGGAGTAGCAAGAACCGCCTCATGGGGGTGCTCGCTGGGGCCCAAGAGCTTTTCGGAAAGCAGTCGAACTATGGGGCGGCCGGGGGGAAAAGGGGGGAATCCATTTTTGTGTGGGTGAAAGGACGGGGACCGGGTATAAATCTGGGCAAGGGTGGAAAGGGGTTAGTCAAAATACGGGGACCCCAAAAGACGGTGTTTTTTTTCCTTTTTGTCTTTAAACCAACATGCACAGTTTCCGAATTCAGGTTCTTGAATCATTCAGTTTGCTTTCAGGACATGCCAGTTGCCTGAAGCCCGGTGAAGATCGGCACGCGAGAGCGGTTGATTGGTGAATCATTATAATTTCACCTAGATATTCAGAATTTCACCTAGATATTCAGAGCATCAAGACTGAATTTCCTCGGTGGCCTCTCAAAGCCAACCAACAAAGGATCAACGGCGCACATTGGTCATGTTTCATCGTGGGTTTACGGCAAGTTATTTGGTACATATTGAACAAGTACCTTTCTTTGCATTTTTAGACAATACCGCTGTATGCTCTTCATATTTGCAGCACGTTGCCTGCTTTTTGCAGAGCACACATTTGCAGGAAGTGCATCTCAAGCGAGCACTGATGAGCACTGGCAGTTTGCCACTGAAATACAGTGAATGGACAAAAACCTGCACCGCCTCAGGAACCCTAGAATGATGATTCCCCGATAAATACCAACCAACAATGGTTTCCCATGGTTTCAAAGTGGTGCGATCTGGATTTCGCGTCCATCCACAGTATGTCTTAATCCACTCGCAAACCTTCAAGGCAGCTGAGGAAGACCTGCGAGTGGTGAGTTTTGCTCGGTCCACGGTGCGTTCCGCAGGCGGGCGGCGCTTACTTTGTGGTGCTCGCGGGTTGCAGCGCCTGGCTGCACTACGCCAAGGCGCGAGTCGCAGTCGGGGAGTTTTTAAGCAAGTCAACCGCCTCCCGAAACGCCCCCGAAACGCCCCCGACCCCCCCCCCCCGCGCAACCCTTTGACCAACCCATTTGGGTGGGAGTCAAAGTAGGAGTTTGGACCCGCAGTTGTTGGCGCAAGGGTTGGCCTTTTGGTTCCTCAAGCTCTCAAAAGGGTACCGAGCCTCAAAACAGCAGTTTGCTTTATCAAAAGAAGTGGGTTAAACAGTGTTTGAAGCCGAGGCAGACCGGACTCGCCCCTTGCCAAGACACCCAAGGGGGGCAAAAAACGAAGCTGAGCGGCAATGGAGAAGAAATGTCCAGTTGAAAGGGACAAGTTGTTTGTGCAGCCGGTACAAAAGAATTTCCTGACCTTCGCATGCTGTGGGTCAAAAATGGGTACCCAAAATGGAACCCTGGTAAATGGAACCCATGACTAAAATAGGCGGTCCCCTGCTGGTTTAGTTTTCACCCACACCCATAGGGGAGCTTCCCGCCCACAGATTCGGCTTGCCTCATCCAAACATTTGGGGAAGGAAACCTCTTGAGCCCTGAGAGGATCACTGAGGGCGGCCCCAAGTTTCTTTTTTTCTTTTTTCTCCGCAGGTAAACCAAGGTGAAAGTAGATGTTGCACAATTAAAAGTCCTTCTGGGGATCGAACTTGCCATCTACTTTCACCCACCTGCAATTGCCCTGGCGAGAGCCAGGCCTGATTGGACTCTCAACTCCAAACGCGCACTTCTACCAGCACTTATGCACATGTCCTCAACGCGGAAGCCGGCAGAGGTTGAGATGATGGAAACCTGGGATTCATAACCTGGTTGACTCAGGGATCAAGGATCAGTGGGGGATTCTTCTTCCTTGTAAACCTGCCTAACCAGAACCTCCCCAGGTAACTTGCCCATACGCTATACTTCTTGCGAATCAACCTGGAACTCACCCCAAGTATTATCCAACGGCGTCGCTCAAGGGGTTGAAGATGGGAAGCAGCACTTTGGAATGTGTTGGTAGACAAGCAGCCTGTTTTGATACACTGCTTGCTTTTCCACCCGGAGGGTGGAATGGGTGTGTCTTATCGGGGATCCCCGAAAGAATGGAGGTCCTTTGGGCGTCCAATGAAAACCACCCCCCTTGGTGCGGGGCACCCTCAAGAGCAAATCCGGTTTTGCCGAAGAGGTCCTGGAGGAGGTGATGTGTGCCGAGCTGGATACGGAGTTTGCCGCCAGGCCGGAGGTTTCTTTTGGAGCCAAGGAACCCCTAAAATGGCAACTGAGAGGAAACAAGCGCTGGTTCCTCTTGTTTCCGCCCTCGAAAACCTATCTAAAACGGGTTCCCGCCTTTTTCAAGACACCCACAGATAGGTGGGGGTGATATGAGTCTGAGTTTTGAATAGGGGACCCCTTGGTGGGCACCGTTTAGGTGGGGATTTACTTTTGAAGGATTCCCTATTGAAATTCATAGACACATGGGTTTGGCCATGCAACTCCCTTCCCTTTGGGGCCAGGATTGTCAGTTGCCCCCCGTTTCACGCCACACGCAACTTTGGCACCCTCGCTTGCCAAATTTCACACCAAAAAGGACCCCCTGACTGTTGGAGGCCCTACATCGGATTTCAGTGTCATGGTTGCTATTCGGTGGGATCTTACAACTAAACAGCCAGACGTTGAGCTTGTTGCTTGGGGGGGAAGTTGAGCCCCCATTCTTCTAGTAGGCCGGGAGCCTGAAAGCATTTGTCTCCCCCTCCTCAAATTCAGAGTCCCTTTTCGGATGGGAGGTACCCTGAAGGTTCTCGATTTTGAGAAGAACCGGCAGGCCACCTTAGGGTTTCAGTACTCTATTTTTGCTGTGTGTGTGTGTGTCTCCTTTTTCCTGGCAGGTTCTCCGCAAGGCAAAGCGACTCTCTGGTGTGGTTCCTCTCTTTTTCGGCGATATGTTTCCAATGACATACATATGGCTGTGGGTCAAAAATTGGTATCCAAAATTGAAGGTAAGTGGTAACATAGACTAAAACCTGCAGTCCCCCTGGTGGTTTAATTTTGACCCATATATATATATATATATATATATATACACATGACGTTTGATTAGGGCCACCCCGCCAAATAGCCTTGCGGAAGCCTTGAAGCTTTGCCTGATTCTCGGCCTGTGCGTGGCGGGAACACCAGGCAGGCCTTGGGAAACCCGTGGCAAGCACCGGCCAAAGCTGAAGTTAGGTAGGAAGGAAGGGACATCGGCTAGCCTTAGGGAGACCTTAGATTAGCCTTAGGGAGACCTTGGGGAAGCCGTGGGGTAGCCTTCAGGACGCCTGGGGGAAGCATGTTTGCGGAAAGCTTAGGATGCAGCTCTTTCAGAAAGAGTCAGCTTAGGAAGCCTAAGGAAGATCTGGAGATGTATCAGCTTCCTAGGAGTTTAGGGATTAGGGGGGGTGTCAGGTCTTCATGACTAGAGTCACACCATTGTTCGCGCACCCCTTGAAAGCTGGACCACGAGAAGGCATGCGGAACTGCCTGGCAGAGTTCGCTGCGTCATTTCGAGAGAAGCAGCCAACACCTTCGAGACCGAGTTTTCCAAAAAGCAAGCAGGCATCCACTTTGTCTCGGTCACCAAACACACCTGGACGCAGTCGGAGTTTGATGGCACTGGCAATAGCAAGACGACGCTTGAAGCGTACCAATTCCTGCTCAAAGCTGCGGGTCAAACTGAGGCAGCCGAGAAGATCCTGCAACCCAAAGCCCATGGCTTTCAAAAGCGAATCAAGCAGCTGTGGTCACCAACGGAAGTCGCCAAGTGGGCTGATCAGCGACTGGCGTCACCATTACCAATCGGAGGGAAGCTTAAGGGGGCCTGGCCTAGCCCAATGCTCATTGGAAACATCAGGAAGCATCCATAAGAAACCTGGAAAGGTGGGGTCAAATGTTGACTTGAAAAGGGGCTCATGGGGAGTCCTTCTTGAAAAAAGCCATTCTTGCCTTCCTAGAATGTGTGTACATATACACATATATATATATATACATATATATATATACATATATATATATATATGCGCGTGTTTGTTTGAGGCTGGGTGGGAATTCAGGTTGCTTTATGCGGAAGCCAATGGAACAACAGGGTGACAGGGTGGGTTTCTCTCGGTGTCCCATGAAACGCAACGCCCAGAAGTTGCCCAGAAGGCATAGGTGTCCTTTTTGGGTTGTTTTAGAAATAGATGGCCTAGATGGCGCTGGTTTGGATTGCTTTGTTCCTGTTCCAGGCCATCTACTCTTTTCAAAAGGACGCCTATGCCGCCTGTGCTTCAACATGGGTTTGCTTTCTTCAGAAGACGCAGTGGACGGGTATGGAACATCGTGCTGTGATGATGCAGTCTGTTGGTGTGATTGCAGTGCATGTTCCGGCAGTTGCCACCCCTGCAAGGCTTTCAGATGCCCAAACCTGCTTGAGACGCGTCTGGCAGGCTGCGGCACCTGGGGCGGCCGCTGGCGCCTTCGGAGACGTGGGGGCCTTGACGGAGAGCCTTGGGGGCGGCAGAGGGAACCTTCTTTGGGGAGGTGTTTTGGGTATGGGTCAAAATCAAACCACCAGGGGACCGCAGTTGTCAGTCCATGTTTCCATTTACCAGGGCAACCCATTTTGGGTACCTATTTTTGACCCACAGCCTTTTCTTCAATCTTCACAGCCTCCGGCTCACTCTGCCGACGTTGTCCTCCCTCTCTTAGCGGGGGTTGTCCTCTATCCTCTCGGTATCTGACACGCCGAGCAATGTCGGTGGATATACTCGAAAAGGGGCACCAACTGAAATTTTGGCAGTGGTTTCATCTTTCCAGACCCATTTAGCAGTTTAGCACCTGGGCCTTTAGATGGATCTGTCTGTTTTGAGGGGCCCCATCTCAGGATTTCTCAACGGGAAAGTGCTGTTGAGCTGGATCTTTAACATGCTTTTCTGTGGGGAGGAGTCAACGTTGAAACAATCCCAGCCTTCGGCCTTTGGAGAGCCTTGGCTTGCCCCAACAAACGGCCGGATTGGGCCCTCGTTATTTTCAACAAATTGTAAGTAATATATTTCATATGTTGGTTTTGGGAAGAATATAGCCAGAAGCAACCCATTTCCTGGGAACTCCCCAGACTTGCGGTAAGTCTATTGGTTGATGTGCTCACTGAGTGTTACTCACTCCTGTTGAATTGGCTCGAAGTGTTTGATCCACAGCTGGTCGTCTTTCCCTATTCCCCGCTTGGAAAAAACACCACACAACTTTGGGAGGTGGTTTCCCCATTTGTTTCAGCCTCTTTTTTCTTTCAAGAACCAGCTATTTCCCGGGTTTTTGGACGGTTTCTTGAAAGAAAAAAAAGGATCCCTGCAAGAATGGGTCGGGTTCCTTGGCCTGGTGTTCGTGAGGCTCCGGTGGCTGGACGAGGCCGCGAGGCAAGGCTCCGGTTGCCATGCCCCCAATTACCTTGTTTACCTTCATGATTTATGATACATGGACGTGTGTCTTTTTTGGGAAAGTTCCATTTTACCTTGGCTTGAAGAGAGCCAATAGGAAAACCGCCATTTTGGGTGTCCCCCCCAATTGTGACACATGCCCATATAGATGCTAACTACTAGGCATATTATGCAGCCAGAAACACATGTGTTTCACTTGGCAGCTGACACGAAAACGAGACGGAAACGACATGGGGTGAAGCCCTGGCAAGGTCCGGAATTTCGCAGAGGAGCTTCCCCTGAAAGAACCAAGCCAACCAACCACAAGCGGGATATTGCCGTTTCCTGATTGCCTACTTCCAGCTGGGCAATTGGCCAGCAAGCAGTGTCTGCAAGGGTCTTGCGCGATCCTAGTTTCCAAAGGATACCCGGTCATGCACAATGTCACTAGGTTTGTCCCCCTGGCAGCACCTTTTGAACTGCGAGCTGACGTTCACGTCAGGTCGTGGGTTTGACCTTGAACCTCTTTCTGCCAGCAACGCGAACGTAGCTTGTCAGTTTGAAGGCTCTTTGAGACCGACGACACATTTTTGGTACTGCGCTCAGGCTCTCAGGAATCCAATCAGAAGGTTGTGTTTTTCTTCTTGGTTTTTGTTTCCTTCTTCTTTTTTTTAAATTCAATGTTTTTGCGACGGAACCAAGATCGGGAAGCTAAGAGAACCGAGAAATGCTGAAGCCATTTTGGGGGGTCCAAGAGTCCAACCTAAAAAACGGCCCTCCGAAGTTTTGGCTCGCCGCTCGTGCAGGCATTCAGCGTGCACAACGGAAGCGGAGAAAAGGGGCGGGCGGTTCTGCGCAACTGGGCGCAACTGAGCGCCGGAGCGCCGGTGGGTCCGAAAGGGACGTGAGCCTAAACACAACTTTCCACAATCATGGCCCACAGTGTGGTTGTTGCTTTTTCGTACAAATCAGGATCTGTCAGGAGTCAGCAGTGGCTTATGATAGACTACCCCCATTCTTGCAGATCACTGCCCAAGTGGGAAAGGGGGGGAAAAGGTGTCCTTCTTGCTGTTCTTTGATTGGAGGTTGATGAGTTATGATGTATGGCTCATAGCAATTCACCATATGCATTGATTTGCAATCTGTGTTTCAGGAGCTTCAGAACTATGCCGCCCCTCTAAGTGTTTCAACACGCGAAGCACCCGCCCAAAAACATAATTTTTGTTCTCCCACTGCCACCTTTCCCAAGTACACCCCATTTATGAACATCATTTCGCAAGTCACATGTTCCTTTTAATCTACTTCAAGCTTACTTCCCTGCAATTCAGCATCGCCCCCAATTTCCCCAAGGGCAGCTCCTCGGAAAATTCCTGGGTTTTGTGTTACCTCCAGTTGTGCGGCCTTTTTCGCTTGTTTTGAGGACGGTTTTCCAAGCCACGCGCCAGAAAGTGTGGCTTGTGGCACCCCCCTGCCACGTGCCTTTTGGGCTCTTTTCTTCTTCTGGCCAGGTGGCTCCAGGACCGAGATGGCCATGGGCCTTGAGGTTCTGTTTTTTGATTTCTGGTCCGGATTGGTTTGGAGGCTACGCCGACCTTGGCTACCTACCGGATGTGTGGTTTGGAGGGTTGGGAGGTTGCGGAGCCAGCAATCCGAGCCACCAATTCGAGGGGGCGCTGAGAAACCCGCTTTCCAACAATGGAAGTCGACGTTTTGGTAGAGCAAATTTCTTGCGTGTGTCAAAACGTGTTAAATTGTTGGTAAGCTGTAGGATTGAATGAGCTTGCAAATGCAACAAGAACCATTGAAATCCATTGAGCTGAATTTATGGTCAGCCCCGAAGGAAGGTAGTCTTGCAAAACCTGATCGTCAGCTTCCAGTATTCTTGGACGGGGGGGTATCTCCCCTGGTGGTTAACACCAGACCCCTTTTACCCAAGCATGTGTAGTTTCTCAGGTGGGTTCTGAGTATTGGAATCCGGGATAATTGTTCTTCTTTGTGTTTGGTTCCAAACAAGGCTATGGGCGAACATGTTGTGGCTTCCAAGCATGGCCATGGGGCAATCATATGCCCATGGGTCAAAATCCCGTGCCCCCAGAACATCCCAATCCCCACTACAATAGGTTCTACCTACCCCAAAATGGTACCATTGGTTTTGACCCACAGCCATATGCATGTCCGAATTCGGCCTTTCACACAATCATGATGGAGCTCAGTTGAAGTGGACCATGGCCATGACCTGCAGTGTGCTTCGGCAATGAGTCTGCCTTCGCCATATTAGTTCATTCTATCCGGCGTGGCTTACTTTCGATTTCGCTTTGAAACCAGAAGGATCCAGACATCCAAAGGGTGGTTCCCTTTTTCGACAGGGTTGCCCTAATAACCTTAGGATGGCCCAACCGCAAGGGTCCTACCAGCAATTCACATGGAACCTGACACGGGGGTCCTGGTTTGGAAAATGTCCTTTTAAAGGGACCCCCTGCCAGGTTCCATGTGAATTGGTGGCTAGGTCCCCCAGTAGTGCCCTTGTACCTTTTTTTGGGGGAGATTCGGTTCCCCTACTCAAATAGACTAGAGAAAGAAAAAAGTTGGTACCCTTATTCTAACAGAAGGGGTCGTCATGGGGCCTGAGTTTTTTCAGATTCCTGGGGGCTGAGTTTTTCCGATTCATGGGGGCTGAGTTTTTTCAGCAAAAAAAAAACATAGCCCATCATCTGCATCTGCTAGTTCAGGGCCTTGTTTTTTTTGGTGCCTTTGCTCATAAACACCAAGAAAACCAAATAAATCCAAAAAAACACAAAAC